CACGCCCTCGCAGCCACCGCGTCTAAAAAGACCTGATCATAAAGACCTGATCTTATTGCTTTGATATCTTTTTATGCTTTTTATAGAAAGACCGCAAGCCGATATCTCCGTTCGGCGTCACTTGGCTGCTAGTCCCTGTTAATGGAATGTACATGATATATCCTTCTGTCCTTCCAGCAACCTTAAATCACCTTGGTGGCGACGATATCTGCGCACTATGCGGACAGAGTTGAATTTGAGAGTAGAACGGACATGGTCAGTGGCAAGCTGGGTTCTAATCTAAATGGACCGGTTGAGAGGTTCTGTAACAATCAGCAAGAAATTATCCGATCCACTTCAGCCACCGAGTTAGACCGCGTCCAATGTTGGCTAGTGTCACCTTAAAATAGGTCCAACCTTGGCAATATATTCACTTGAGGAAACTACCTTCATTAACACGATTATATATACAAAAGATTTTTTACGAGGACTCTGATGCGGTGTTTAAGCAATTTATTCATTTTTTTAAGTGCAAGATATAACCTATTTTTTTCATCTGACTTTTTTACTATATATTTGAACGCGTATATTCATTTTATTCTACCGTAACAGTAAAGAGTGAACGTGACGTAAATAAGGGGCCTCATATCACTTAATACAAGTAATTCAATTTATTTTATTCCTCGGAAACACCCTGTTCTGTTATTATCAACGAATACACATGATTCGCAGGGAACCTGATCGAATTACGTCGTCATTACAAATAGTCGAACAGGGCCACTTGATTATGCAAGACTTAGTTGTCATGTTCGGAAAGGACTTATAGTTGGAAAAACTACCTTGAGTAGAGCGGCAGACTACGAATCGTCTGCCTATTCACTTAGATTGAATAATCTGCTAAAGAAACGAGCAGAACCAATACTGAACAGTGATTGCGGTCCACAAAGATACTGAAACTGCTAATGACTATCACGAGGATTTTAAGTTATTTCGTGTTCAACTAAGTATATAATTTAAGTTAATTATATTGCTTACTATTTAGAATTTTAACGTTGTATAATAATTAATAATTTGCCTCATAGTTTGCTGCTTTGGCCACGCATCCTTAGCGGTTAGATTAGGTTCGGATCCCACCTCACAATGGTTTTGGCAGTGTGATAAAATATTTTTCCAAGAATCATAAGAACTGCGATAGAGCGGTCACCAATGCACTCACTGTTTCATCGGGCCGTGTTTGTAGTCTAATCCGTTCGATTGCCTATTTTTAACATTTGATATATATAAGATGTTCCAGAACGCGCTTTTTGCATAGCAGTGTGCGGGCCTTAATATCGATTTTTGATTTCTTCTAGGAGCACGGTCGTTTTGCAGAAGGCACATAATACTTTCGAATTTTAAGTTCACTCAGAAGCGCCCCACAAAAAATCGGAGTTAGTACGTGTCTTTCGAATCTCATCCTATTTTGTTCAATTGCTCAAGATAACAAATGTCCGTTTCGAATATAGCATTTGCGACAAGGAGTCGGAACCGCCATGAACAGGAAGCAGTACCCTTGCGACAGGAAATCCGGGTACGATCAGCTCTAATAATATAGCACACGTTCCGGGCACGACTAAAATTGCTTATCAAAGGCTGGCAGGTAGAAGAAACCGAAACGGTACATTATTAACTTTTATTAATGAATAAATAAATGCAAGAATCCTTATTATATACATACTCGCGCAAACAACTGCCCACAGCGGGGGTGCAATTCTTTCGCCGATGTAATTTTTTCGTAATGGCGGTATTGTAGTCGCGTCGGCACGACAGAGCTTACCGAACGTACCAGAGGCAGCGGTAAGGGCTAAATGTCACTGCTATCTTCTCGCGTCAGTCCCTGTGCTTCGACCTCCGTCATTTACTTGCCTGTTTCCGTCGGCTTGTCCGATTTCTCTTGCTACGGCCTCGTCGTCGTCGTCACACAGTCTTGATCGATTTGGCAACTGCGTAGACGACGTCTGGCCTAATTATTTCGTGCCAACTCGCTTTGTCGTTTCGCTCTCTGCGTGTGTTAACGATCTATTTGTGTAGGTGGACAACGACAACGAATGGGTACGTCAAAAGGTGCAGTCTTGTAAACAACCGCACTGCTTCTATATCGGACGAGAATTGATATTTATAAAGCAAATGCCTCGCTTTCTGGCAGAACAAAATTATACTGTCGTTACACTTTTTTGCTTAAGACACTAGACCAGCTAGCATCATTGTCTTACATTTTGTATAAATTTGATGTTCATATTTGTATTTGGGATAGATTATTATACTTCATTATACAAATAATGCTCATAGTTTTCATACTTAATCTGTAGAAGAGGTCCATGTTTAATTTTAAAAATCATCGGCATTCAACGTTAACTTCAGAAATTATCTGTTGGACACAACAAGTAGTTTTCGGTTACGAAACTCCCTTCTTTTACGATCACCAGTTTTCTACGCACAGCTACATCCTTATTTTAAGAATTCATTTAATTACAAATCAATCATTTCATGATGTTCGTTACACCGATGTTTTTTTCGAATCGCTAATATAAGCTTAATATAAGTGATACTAATGTAAAATGAATTGTTTTCAACAAACTTGTTGCCAAAGTGCGAGTCTTCAACTTGAATCTATTCTAAATTACCTAGAACGATACATTTATGCAACAGTGCACTACCAAAGTATGTGTAGAAAACAATCAGCATATTTGTTTCAAGAGACAACAAAATTTGGTGGAAACATCTTTTGCTGACAAATCTGCAAAAAACAACATCATTGCAGCAATAATAATTGAAGAACATTCGAATTCTAATATATGATGATCAGTAATGACCGACATGTAAAAGGACAAACGCTTAGAATTAGCATTCACTACTGGCTTCTACATAACATTACATAGAACCTTCATGACATTTAGGAAAACTTTGCCGAACGTTGTCATTATTATGAGCACAAGGACAAACGAGAACTACGGCATGAATGTAGTACTGAACCGCAATCTAGCCTAAACAAAGCGCTTACAAAATTCAGAAGAATTTATTCGAGAGAAAGTTTTAAAACTCCTTTGACAGTTCACTGGGTGACGATACGTGCTCCCATGGACAATAATGGCTTTTCCTTCTGTACATCATTCATTTTTTTAGCTATACGATGAACAAGCACAATCGCCAAAGCCATTCAAATCGATTATCGTGTGTATATAGAAAGATATTCAGGGTTGTTTGTGCGAGTCAGCAAAAAAATTATTGCTAGACTGTTGCTACAACATATATTTACTAAATATACTACATTTTTTTTTACTAAACGTGTTTTTCCGAGAAAATTTCAATTCGCATGCATAGAATAACTCCTAATTATTCGTTCTGGCCAAGCACAAGTTCGCACGGTGCACAGCTGTGTCTAAGTCAATTTCAGTGAACGACCATTGAGTGTTGGAAGACGCTAACGAGCGCCGCCGTCGTAGTCGTCAGTTCGATGGGGGATGCAACGCCCGCAGTCTTTTTTACCTTTTATTTCCGCCCTACCTTGCTGTTCGATGGCATCTCATCCCCTAGAGGAAGCGTACAACCCAACGGGAAATAAGCAAATGATGCCTACGCCTGCCGTTTTCGCCGGCCAGAGTAGCAGTTCACGTCATTAGAGCTGATTCATGGGAGCCGAGCGAAGCCGTTTGGCGCCCAGTAACAACAAGGACACGCTCATCTTCGTAAAACCCATTCATAAATCACTCATTTGTTCAACAACAACATGAGATAGGATGGGATGGGGAAAGGAAGGAAGAAAGGGTGTAGTTACTGCTTTACGTGAAGATCATTATAGCTGCCGGCAAGGCCACAGCTTGCCGGTGACCGGTCTAATCTTACGAGAGGCGACAGCTTTAAACGTGTCCTTTTAATTTATCCTGTTCCAAAGCAACACAGAACAGAATAATTATGTAGAAGTATATATCTGCCGAATTCGTTCAAACTATATAACATTAGAGCGTTACAATAAATCTTGTTAAAAAATTGAAAGAATACAATGTCCGAATTCGGAAACATGACGGCTATAGTTGAGCTTGTGCTTATCTATTCGGAAACAAAGTACTCATTGTAGGTTGTGTCATCTAGGGTACTTATTAAGCCTTCTTTCAGGTTTTTTTTTTTCTGAATAAGTGTTTGAAATTCGTAGTATGTTAACTCATCAACTTCACTAATACATCACCGAACTTTGTTCTTCACTGCTTCATCTCATCGCGGAGCTGAAGTAGGCATGAATAACTACAGCCAGTATATGTTAAGGCTACTACAGATTCCAGCACTTCTTAAAGGCAAACAAGCACATTTTTATAGGAAACAGCGAGCCGGTACAGAATGTTGTTGATGTTTTACGCAGGCCCGAACGGAAAATGACATTAGTGAATGTAGGCACCTGCAATGTTGTTCACGTGACAATAGTATACAAGCATTGCCCAAAGTCAGATTCAACTAAACCACGTATATAATGAACAAAAATAATAAACCGCTTGTTTAGACAAAAGGAAATACGTGTTTTGCCTAGTCTTTCAAAGTTTTTAAGGATGGATATACCGGTTTCTATTTTTAGTAAATAGGTACCTTTCGGACGAAAAACTAAAAAGGTGTGGTAAAACTTATTTTTAAACATAGAAGCCTTAAATGGTGGTATCTTCTGTCTAACTGCGACAACATTCTCCGTGCTTTTTCTCAATACTAAAACGACCATATAAGTTGCCTACCCCTTATACAATAATATCTCTTAAGCAACCCAAATGTACGTAGCCCTAATAGATGTTTCAACACGCTTCCTTCCATATGTCACAAAATGGGCTATGCTGATAATACTACTATTAAAAAAAAAAACACGTTTCCAGTACGATTGCCATGTATTGGTTAATATTATAGCGAAAATGAAAAAGTCCTTTTATTCATAGTTATATTTATTTACTGACTAATTGGCTGAGTGAACAAAATCAATATTTGTAAATAAAATACACAGTCTAGCATTGAACCTGTTCCATTTATTTTTTTATTGAAAGAACTTTAGGACTCAAAGAGAAACATATTTCTATTTGCCTCCTTTTTGCGTGCTCATCACCCATACCGTTTTTTAACCATAACGTAGGGCGATTCACAGGTCATTTTACATGTAGGCTCAGGTTGGAACATCCCGACTCGCCACTGTTAAATAAATGTTGTGCATCAAAACGAAGTAGAAAGGGGAAATACTATCTGTAGACACGTTCGAAATTAACTCAAACAAGGTCTAAATAAACATCCTATATTAGCCTAACCTAGAACGCCTTCTGGCACACGCAATCCACTCTGACAGTGACACGAGTACCATTAAAAGTAGAAGAAGTGTCCAATCTTTTTCCGTTTTGCTCCGCAGTAAAATTGACGAACTAATTGTAGATATTTTTTAATTGTTTACTGTTGGTGGCCGCTCGTTATCATGTAAGGCATAGCTAAATCTTCTATTTGTGACCAAATAATCTCTGAATGCAATTCGTTCATCTTTCTATTAAATCGTTGTTCAATATTACCTGTGTGAGAAAATCGCTGCTCTGGCATCTAGATTTCGCTGCATTTGTCTTCCACAATCTTGGCCACACTTGGGTGTGAATTACTTTTTGGCGTTAACGATGTCTACGAATTCGGGCTTCAGAGAAGCACCACCAACAAGAAAGCCATCGACATCGGGTTTTTGTGCCAATTCCTAAAATGTAATGATCCAGATTGAAAATCTTTTCCGAGTAGCTACTTAAGGTGATTGACAGTTTAGAAAATAAGCCGTAGTAAGAATCCGTGTGAAATTTTACATTTGTGACAAAGGCTTCAAATCTTCGGATTTTCGAGACATCTGCGCTAAAGTAAAAACTTTCCTTAATATAAAAACAAATCGTACATGATTTTGACAGATTTTATATAACAGATAATGTTTTGATTATTATTATTTCTGTTAAAAGAAGTGCGTGCGACCGTTGCAGACTGGTATTAACACAAGACCTATATAAGTGTAACGTAAGTGGCATCATCATATATCACAACGGCAAATAATAACAATAGTAACAGAGTACCTTGCAATTAGCAGCCGTAACAGATCCACCGTAGATGATACGAATGTTTAGTCCAACTTCTTCTGAAACGTTCTTTGAGAGCCATTCTCGAAGTTTAGCATGAACTTCCTGAGCCTGCTCAGGCGTCGCAGTCTTTCCAGTGCCTGTTCACCAGAGAATTAAGTTCAAAATCATACACAAACGCCTGATTTTTTTTTGCTTAAACTAAATTTTGAAAATTCCTAAAAATTGTTCTAATGCATAGGCATTACATCATTATTGGAACATCTTTAAATACTCCTCAAAACGTGCACATAAGGTATGTATGGCAAACGCACTTGGCGGGCTTGCAGACTTGAAACCTCGCAAGCTATTTGAACAAACGCAAAATGAACATACCAATAGCCCAGACGGGTTCGTAAGCAATCACGACATTTTTCCATTGATCAGGCTTGATCAGGTCGGCGTAGGCTTTTGTCTGACGGAACACCTAAGTAATCATCCGTTAGTCACAATTACACAATTCTAGTAATTGTTACTTATACACCAAATGTTCCCTTAAAAATTTACATTAGTTTAAATTAAGCCTTAGCGGCAAAATGTCTATTAAGACTTATACAGAATAGAAGATCAGTTATCGGTGTAGTGTCATGAACTCAGCGTTTAGTGGAGAGGTTAGTTGTCTAAATGAAAATACTTCATTCACTGAATACATTACATGCATAGCTCTTCTATGGAAACTGATATTTTTGTAGGAGCTAACTTAACGTGTGCACGCCGTGGTCTGCATCTTCCTAGAACTGACGCTGGGAGTTAAGCCCTTGTATACCCTTAAGATAAAGAAACAGAACACAACGCCCTGTTGAAATATTCCCATACCACTTCTTCGGTTTTTCCGGCTTCTCTCTCTTCAAGCAGTTCTCCGATGCAAGCAATCACTACAAGGCCGCCTTGAAGTGCAAAGGCGCACTTTTCTGCAATAGGATTCATTGAGCATTTATTTGTAGCACTCAGAAACTGCCGAAATTTGTACCTTTATAGAAAAAGTAAAGCTGGGAAATTCGTGCATGATCCATAGGTCTTTAAGATAGAACAACGAACCTAAATACGAAACGCAGTTATACGCCAAGTAAATTTTATTCAAACTAAAAGGTACAATGAAATAGTATTAAACAATCAAATGATATTCAGAGCTCGAGTCAAACAGGTAATATATTCTATGATTGAGCAACACAAAAACCCAATAGGAACGGTAACGAACAAAGAAGGCCCATACAATACCTGCAATAAGTTGATCGTTCTCGCCGAACACATTGCGTCTTTCCGAGTGGCCAAGAATGACGCTGTCACCGCCACAGTCCCGAATCATATCCACGCTAAGTTCGCCAGTGAAAGCTCCGCTTGAAGCCTAATGCAAAAATTAAACGTATTGAACACTACAGCAAGTAGCATTGCTGCACTTAAATGCGAACACTAAGATATTACTACGTCTGCGTTTTTGCGAGTAATAAGCCTTCGATTCCAGTCAGCGATGAACTAGCCGCTGATCGCTAATTTACGGCATTCATTTATCAGGATCGAACTTGGGAATCAGAAGAAAAAATCAATTTTTAAGCAAATTATGTCCCACGAAAGGAAATCATTTCTGGATTGGTCTGCAGACCAGTAAAAAAATTTATGCAATAAAAATAATAATACCAGTAATGCTGCAAAACTGATGAAATCGATACCTATTACAGCTCTTTTTGTATATAGATGTTTACTTATAAAAATAATTTGTAAAAAATAGCAATATCAATACTTCTCACACTATTCTCTAATGACAATACTCTTCAATGATTTTACTGGGCGTATTTCTTTGAATACGCAGCGCACCAAAATCAAAAGTTTAGATAAACAAGCAGTATATTGGTAAAGTAAGGGCATCGTTGTATGTTTTGTGCATTGATCGTATGTCTGTTATGCCATCATCACCTTGTAGCAGTTTTGCCCGGCAACATGAATGCTGGGGGGAAGTAGGTCTCGTACAAATTGTATGTATGGTGCAGGAACTCCAACGCACACCTGAAATTATAATATGTTTGAAAAACTATACTATGTTATCGTTGTAGCTAATGTAGTAATAACGCAGTTGTAAATCCTCGCACTAGTTTTTCTGCCAACAATAATATTATGTAAAAGTATACCTTTGCTGCGTTGCTTCTTAAGTTACAGCAGCAGCATCATAATAAAGTAAGATGTCATGTCAATTGTTGAAATATGCACAAAAACGGATGACGCGGAAATATAAATAGGTGGGCAGAATATTTATGAGTATATAGCATCCGGTAAAAATTATTCTATCAAATAATAATGGTTATTTACTTGTACTTAATATTTCCACCTTAGATACGCGATCAACGATTTAAATATTTCCTCCATAGATAATAATATCCTTTGCTGTTACACAAAAAAATAAGAGAATGGATTATCGAAATACTCTATTTCCTTGAGGTAAAAATAGTACTGAAATTTAACATTTCAACTGTGGCGCGCTTTATATCACGTGGCGCCTTGTAATCCCTGTTTAGCGTACTGCCGTTTCCTAGAAGAAATGAATGGGATTCTACTGTTACGTTAGCATCTATAATGATTGCCCATAGATACTTAAAGATAAAAGAGTATTCGGGTATAACAAGCTAATTTCAAGAATCCCCATTTCGAATTCCAACACGGATGGATTCGCTTATCCTATAAAGTACTTGCTCCGATTGAGTAAGAAACGCTAATTTCAACATTCTAACATTCGACTGGAAGCGATACAGTGTTATTTCGGCAGTTTACGAGCTGGAAGGTCTCAGCAACATATAATACGAGGTTATATGATTTCGAAAGTTGTCTTATATTATAAAAATGTCAACAACCACTAAGCATAATCTTTGTAAAAATCTCCAGCATCATTATTTCAGCATACCTGTATTCATCCCACCATTTCATTTGAACACATTTAAACACGATATATTACCGCTTTGATAAAACAAATAAATAATCGTCAATGGACACCAAAAGAAGATAAACCAGAAATAATATAGCATGAAAACGACCTTTGAACCCGCAAAACTGACCGAAAGGATACCTGCTGTTCAGAAAAAAAATACTGATAACGGTTTCAAGCATGAATCCATTTATCTAATCTTATAATGTTTGGATGATACCTCACGCGAGAAATAAGTTTTTTTTTTAATAAAAAAAAATAAGTAGAAAGTCATCATTATAGCTAATAAAGTTTAGTGATTAATGTAGCGATAATGAGAATTTAAAGCTATTTTAAGAGAAATATTACTGAAAGACCCTATTACAACGGACCACAAGTAGATCGCATATTGTAGTTCAACAAAAACCTAAATAAATTAGAATAGCCACACATGATTTAAGGTTATTTACACAAACAGTTAGGTTACGACCATTACGTAATATAGTACCATGTATGTGATGCGAGTATTCCTACAAATGAACGTTTCTGTTACATGTAGTAATTGTTTTTAGTACGACGGCATTGTAAAGATGGTAATACCTCGGTTTCTGAATCAAGCTGCGATGTCTTCAGCCTATCGCAGATCACCTGAATAGACTGCTTAGTTCCGTTCAACTTCCAGTTTCCTCCAACGTAAAACTTGCGACCCATCTTGAGTTGTTCAGAGACGTTACAGTTATAGTAAGAATATGTTCAACAAACACGGCTAACGCTTTATGGTTAATGAGATTCCACCGGTCGTCTATATGACACGACTGAACTCGAAGCAGTGACCTCCGAAGAACGTTAATATCTACCAAGGTGTTCGCGAACCGGTCGTCCGATATACTATAACTTCGCAAAATATTCCCTAGAGATCCCTAGATATGGTAAGGAGGACCCGTTTGTGTTTGCATTACAATTTCACAGCAAATTCCCGTCAGCTAGAAGATGCGCTTTGAGATGGTCAATACTGATTTAATTATCCCCGTAACAGTGAAATAGTAACGTGCCTGCCTATTTAGAGGCGCGTAAAATAATCTAGATCCAGAACTAGGCATCGATATACCGTTTCTGAATGAAAGTCGTCTGTTTGATACAACTGAGACCATATAAATAAAACCCAACATATTACTGTGGTCTGCTACTGGGTATGCCATTTTGAAAATAAATAAGGGGAAAGTTTTCAAAGTAAAACAATCTATTAACTATTTATTATAAACGAAGCTAACTAAAATCTTACTAATTTTACTTACTGAAAAACAAACTAAAAGTCAACCGCCTCGACCGCTTTTTGGCGATTGACGAAAAACAATTTTTCAAAATGTTTTCCGTTAAATTCGTATCTTTCTAAAAAAAGTACCTTTTCATATTTATCCCAAAAGCTTCCACAAAGTATCCAGATCAGAATTGTAGACTTACATTTGCGTTTCATCATCACTTTACAGTATACTTCGCAGATACATCTAGTTGCTCCTCACTGAAAATCCAAGATGTATAAAAGCACACATTTTAGTAAGTAGAATAAATTGAATAGACGTCTTGTATAATTATTATTTAACCTTAAACACGTACAACTGACGCAGTCAAGAATATGTAAGGCACATTTAAGGCAACACTCAAGCTTCACGGCCAGACAAGTCAAGACAGAGTCGCGGCAGCAGTCTCCAGTAAGAAAGAAATAGCTAAACCGAAGTGTCTAGGTTGCCAGGCAAACTTCATTTAAGAAGTTGAGGTTCGAATGCCCTTAGATAAATTCTGCGTCGAATTAGTTACAGAAGAAGGCAAAACACAATTAAGGCTATTGTACTATGATGTGAGGAATTATTCGAATCACAAACCAACCTCATTTATTCGCCTATTCAAATAGATTCAGACACTTTTAAGGGATAAGCAGTTGTTAAGAATCTTTAAATAAGAAACACATTGAAGCAACTTATTCCATGGTGACTTTGTTTCTTAATCACCATTTAGCCTTAATTCATCGTTAGGATGTCAGAGCCATCGGAATGTTAACGGTTTCGTTAGCCTTTAGCTCCACTTAGAATCTATCTCTGAAGTCGACTTTGATGAAATGAGTAGCATTACGCGCGTAAATAAAGACTAAAGGCAACATTAAGCTGGATTATCAAAGGGTGATAAATCTCGAAGGACATCGGACTTCCGATCGCCCATTCGGTTCAGGCTTGTTTTTCACAAAACAGCAATGCATTCATTCGTTTGTAGCTAAGGGTATCTAGGGAACTTAAGTTCCCTAGATATCCCTAGTCTGTTATGTCTCCAGCCGCCGCGAGTGTTGAAAGGGAGATAACGGGGGAAACCATTGGATCGAGCCATTGGAGCGGGTCCACGGACAGGGTCGCTGCCGACGACGACGACGACGGCGGCAACGGCAGCGGCAGCAAGCTGTGTTCGTTCTGGTGCTGTTGGTGTGTTATGTGTCTGGTCCACCTGGTGGCTGCTGCCGCCAGGCTCGGTCCACGGCCAGTGCCTGTTTGCTTGCCTGCTGTTGCTGCCTGATGACTACAACGACTGACTGCGATCAGCAGCACACTACTACTACTGTTACTGTTTGTACTATTTCCGCTGTGTTACAATTAGTAGAACGATAGGCATAGTGGTTCCGTTGCTGTCGGGTGGTCCTTGGGCCAACATTAACACGGCCAGTAAGTGCTGTATCGTATCACCTATCTGTATTGTTGTATCTATGTGTGCGTGGGAGTGTATGCCGGATTTTCTTTTCAGCTGCTTGCAAGGCCCAACCGATCGCCCGCTTGACCGCCCACCTGCCCGCCCATCAGCCCATCCTTCCACGCCCGAGCACACAGTGGTACCGCCGCTGCTGCTACAATATCGTAGTGCGAAGCACCTTGCCCCCTGAGGGCTGGATTCCGGTTGAAGGGTGCCACCTATTATATGCCCAGCAGCAGAAACAACGGCAGCGATAGCAAAATTAGCACTGACACTCGAACGCGTTCGTGCTGTGCCGTGCTGACAGCTGTTGAACAGTCTAAAACAGCTTCAAATAATAGTGGCAATTTAATTTCGTCACCGATATTTCATTACTTAATCAATTGTCTATTGAAGCACCGATATTTCATCACCACGTCAATGTACATATGATATTGTGAAAGAACGGTGTACTGCTGTTGCTGCTGCGGTTACTGCTGCTGCAACTGTTTTTGATCGCTGTGCTGTGCATGCGAGTTTTTATGGCGTTAATGGCGATGGTACTTCTCCAATGTCTGCACAGGCCTGATAATTCGCCTCTGACCAATGGGATCGACAAGTCTATATAGAACAGTTTGGTACACGACAAACATCTACCCAGCTAAAGGAGTACCGTCAAAAACATCAGCAGCAAATCAGCGAACAATAATAATCATCAGCCGTAAAAGCGGGACATACCGAAGATAACGAGAGAAATTACAAACTACGGCATCCAGTTCCAATTTTGCCACCAGCTGCAACGTTCAACACCGAGAAAACAGCTAGCGACAGATCACGAATGGGTTTACTGTTGTCGTTATTGACAAATCGACCCAGAACCAGCGCCAAGCGCAAGTAAATATTACTGTTAATGATGTCTATCGTGAGTACAGGCAGATGATTTTTGACATCGCGAGTTGTTCACGTGTTTAGTATTTAGGCTGTTACCTTTGAAATTCTTCGGTAACCAGCGCTTGGGTACTTGTGAATGAGCAACAGCATACGTACGGATATCTCATGTTATAGAAGAAATACCAGAAATTATACTGGCTTTCACCAACTTGTAGATTTACAACTCATTAAGTGGTAGTTGTTCGAAGAGGAGCATTAATTCGGTGAAAATCTGGCATTGGTATCGATCCATACTTTTAATGTTCTAAAAGATCACAACAGAAACTACGACTCCAACTACTTCTGCAGCGAATGAAAATCGGAAAATAATAATTGTCGACAACGCATCCATGCGAACATTTTTGGTCTTAGAATAATGACGTTATTAAAAATAACTACAGCGTACACGTTAACAGTACAGTCAATGAACTGAACATTTACGGTGAGTCCGCGATAAGCATGTGTCTGCCTATGTTTCTGATATATTTTGAAAATGAATAAGCTGTAACAAGTGATACCTATACGGCCAATAGTGTTGTCCAGGAAAGATGACGACGGCGGCACAGCCTCAGTGGCAATAGGGACCTAAACTTAGTCTTCGAGGAACCTTTGGGCTCTACAACCACAGTACCAATACTTCATCCGTCAGGTACGTCTCAACCAGCCTTTGCTTATAATAGTAAATAGCAGAAGCCAAATTTTGATATTATTTAATGCTATTCTTAATATTGTCTAGTGCCTATTAAAGTAAATGTACACTTTTTAGCCAGTATTCACCAATTTTTTAGAAGGGTTAATATGTTAATTAACAACCCTTAGCGTGTAGCGACCGTTCTGACGAGCCGGCTTCTAACTAACTTCTAAACCGAAAAATCGTTGAAGGTTAATTGTTCTTTTTTTTTATAAGTTAATTAAAATTATCTTGGATTATGCCAAACTATTCATTTCTTGCGTAACTTAAAATTGAGTTGCCTTAGTGGCTTTTGGCTCGCAAAAGATTTTGTATCATAGAATAGATGTCATATTCTTTACAAAAATCGAAGGAAACTGAAAGAAAGATGCCCTTGGTGTATTTATCTATCGACATCTAGTAGAAATATTCAATTTTTTTCTAAAACTAAATGTGTTGCTCTATAGACATTTCAAAGAATCATATTTTGTCACCGATTGCGTATATTTCAACTAGATGATTTTGGATATTCCCGTACCTCCTGTCGATAAAAATAAGTGGAGAATCTCCCAGTGGGAGGCAGATGTACTCGCTCAGCTCAGACATATTGATTGTTTTCGTCCATAACAAGCAAAGTATGAGTGGCAAATAATATGAGGTGAGATGGTTAGTGGCTTTTAGATAGTCTGCATAGCTGTTGTAATAGTTCGTAATATGGTAGCAGCAAATCACTGGTCTAGTCTAAGTTGTACATCTACGAACACTGTACAGAGGACAGAAAAATTTTCTTAGAAGAGATCCATCAAGCATCATGCTTACCAGATTAGTTGACAGGGAACTATCGCGCCATTTTTAGGACTTACTGTTACAGCACATATGTGCACTTACCCTTGTGTGGAATGTATGGCCCTATTGAGCATGGCCGGTAAAAATCAGGACTGCAAAGAGTTTGTTTACTGAAGTCAAAGCAAGCAGTTTAGTTAAGTCAAACCAAATTACTTTCAAGAAATATATATAACATATGGATAAAAATATGGCATCCAGTTTGGAACACTGGCAGAGTGAATGCTGCTTTGTACCTAACCGTTAACAAGGTAAACTGCGATTTAATTTAGAGGTATGTCTCTATGTATCTGCCAACTCTTCTTCGAATATTCTATAACGTAGACATTGTTAGATTTAGAAATCGTTTCGTTCACAGCAGCTGATTCTTTGAAAAATGCAATATTGCATCATAATTAAGTGCAACCATAACGAAGAGCGAACATCATAGATATAAGTACTGTGTATTTTTGTCCTTGGCCGTCATGAGTATATATGGGATCAAAAAGTTCAAATTGTATTTACATGTAATATGTTCGTAACTGCGATCAACATAATGCCATTGTATTAATCGAGAATGGCGCACATCTATATCTTGTTAATTACGTTTGCAGTGCGCATAGTTTATTACGATTTGCCTTATTCAAAAACAGAATATGGATTGGTGGGAATTGGATACTGACTGTAAGATTCTGTGTTTGATCTCGAATCTATACCTTTCAGTCCACTACCACAAACGCTTCTTCACGTTTCGCGTTTACGAGATTCTCTATAATACAAATAATTGGTTTAAGATTATTTCAATTAATTCTTTGTTTTGATTCCCCAGTGCAGAAAATAATCTGGACACATGATACTACGCAAGGTAGCCAATACAGCCCCATCTAATAATTACTAGTTAACTTACATATATGGTGTATAACATCACGTTATATAGAAATATCTACCTACTTGTACTTTGTATCCATTATGATGTTCAGGTAATAATCGTACCTGTCATGTGAAAGTATTATTACCTCTGGCATAAAGGATAAGATTACCTATTATTTCTTGAGCATCGGTACCAAGATATATTATACGGTCGGGCGGTGCTTAACTGAATAGCCAAGTGGTCAGTTGGTGTGAGACAACGCGTGAAGTTTTTGGTACCTAGCAGGTTAGACATATTTTCGAGATCCAACGGGTATCCCAGAAAGTGGGAAGATATTGTTTCCAACTCCAAATTTGGATCAAATTTAAATCTTCAACTTTGAATGAAAACTCAAATATAAATCTTTCTATTATAGCGCTTCGAGAGCCATATGAAGTTAGCGGCTTCATTGGCTTTTCACCCAGAACTTTCCCAAAGATCTAAAGAAATTATCCATAACGAAATATACTATCTTTACACAAAGAGATAATTTAGAAAATATAATGTAGTAAAGAGCTTCTGCATTTCATGTTAATGAATGACTCCTTTATACACCTATTCTCTCGCAAGTGTGTGACTGCACACGCATTTCTAGATAACTAGCATGTGGGCGAAAAACAAATAATTCTTATTTTTTGGACAGTCGTATTTACACTTTTAGTAAAAATCCGAGGTGTCCAAAATGACCGGTATCAGTCTATCTGTCTAGAAAATAAAGCGATATACCAACACAATGAAGATTTAAACAATAGAGCCAAAGCGTGTATTGCAGGTATGGATAGTTGATGTGGTCACTCAGAAAATATGGCCGTTTAGTTTAGAACACGAATGGGTCGTGAAAGTCACTCTTGTACGGTTTTTAGTAGGATGCTTGCCTTCTTGCGTTATATTTCAGGAGTGGGTGCTGGCCCCACCAGGTGAATATAGTTGCACTCTGTGTGTAAAATAAATGCTATATGGTTCACACTTTTGTAGTGAATAGACGCTAGAGATCAAATCGAAAGGTTCTAAACAACATTTAACGCCACAAAGAATTATATTTAACAAAGGCTTTATGAAGAGGTAACTTTTCAGGCCCATCTACAACGCTTTGTGCGTATTTATATATTACATCAGCTCTCTTTTAAATAGCACAAAAATTGCTATGAAGTTACATGAGATCAGTTAATTAAGGTGCCTGATACAAGATTAGATGACCAGTTTAACGCAAGACCATTGGCTGCTTTTAAAGTTAAAACGTCCGTGGTGAATATGTGCTCCGTACTAGTCGAGTGCGAAAGTTTGCACTCGGCTTTGCATATACATAGAATGATACATTTAAGTTAGAGAAAACTTCGGCGAGTTGCTTGCTGTAACAGACACGCGTTCATATGCTTTTGCTCGTACAGAAAAAAAACAGTTCTTTTAAAAACAAATTTGTCGTGGCGGGAAGCAGTGCGAATTTAAACGGGGATCAACTATCACATAATCTTTTTATGGTAGGCGAAGCTTCAAGAAGGATGAAGAACTTTTTTATGGATGAAATTGGCGATTTTCGATTATTCCTAGTTTCCATTTTCTGAAGACCCTGAAAAAAATGTTATCGAGGCGAACCAGAAAATTTTTATGAGGTTAGATTTAAACTGCTCAAAAGACCACCAGAAAGGCTCGAAACCATTTTTTAATACACCTAGGTTATTTAGGCAGAAACTAACGAAATATTAAGCTTTCAACTCAGTCTAGAAAAGCTCCAACAATTAGTCTTTTTGAAACTTTTTGCATCTTTTGAACACTCATAATTTTGGCGCTTTTGACCTGCTATCAGCCTGAAATTTGGTTTTGCTTAACTTTTTGTAGCGTATCTCCTTAGCGAGCTTACGCCTACTAATATCGCTTAACGCGCTTGCTATTAAAAAGTTGCTTGCAGATTAAAGGGGTATTTAAAAAATGACTAGACATAGGTCCCAAATGAAATCTGTAATAGCGGTGAATAATGATTATCTAAAATAAACATGTCCATTAGAAATAACGTTTCTAGCATGTATAAAAGAGACATCGGTGAATTAACTGTCTTTTGTTTAAATATAGTTTTAGGTAGAGAATAAGGAAAATTCGTAATTCAGATCTGCTTTTTTATATGTTGGGTGGTCGAAAAAAAGTACCGACAATTTTCAAGCCAAAATATTTTTTATATCTTGAATATCAAATGATATTACTTAACTAAATATGCGCTATTTTTATTGGCAACTTTCTGCAATTTTGCCGATAAGATCATAATACCATTACTGAAGAATACCTGTGGTTTTTGAAGAAAAATTGTGACAGGATACTTTTGCTGCTCTCTGTTGAGCTTTAATTAACATCATTAAAGGAATTTTGCCGAGACCGCATAGTGCAAGATAGAGCGAGTAGTTGGACAGTGTAAGACTCGGGTATGCGGCGAATGCATTCAAATTATATATATATGAGAACACCTGTCCACTAGTTCCGACTGGTCGTTTTTTATTACTTTGTTATAATCTTGTTAGTCGTTGAAAGTAGAAGTCCGGATCAATCGTTTGTCAGGCGATAGCCTTCTTCGAATCGCACCAAGCACATAGCATTACATTCTTTTACGTGACTCTGAGGTTTGTTACCGATTATGGAGTGAATTTTTTTTCACGAGGTACCGTAATATGTGGTTTACGTTTCATCACCTGTGATCAACTACTTCAACGGTTCGACTTCATTGCACTTTTGTGGCGTCCAAATATGGAACTTCTTCTTGCAGCCAGTTTTCTTCAAACGGTTTAAGACTGTTAGATGGTGGATACTTAGTTCTTTAGATATGCTAGGGCTATTTAAGTGTCGGTCTTGCTCAGCTTTTGCAATAATTTCATCAACTTTTTCCGTAATTGATTGATCACTACGAGAAGTACCTTTTACACGAATCTTTTCAGAACGAACGTGACAAAGCCATCTTTGGACCATTTCTTTCGACAATGCATCTCCGCTATAGACAAATTGAATTTGTATGATCCTGGGTAGTACTTGTGCCTTTATGGTAATGAAATTATAAAATCTGACAAATTTTTGCAGAAATTTCATTCGTCTTCAAGATGATTTATTATAAATCTGAATAAAGGCATGCTAATAATAATTTTAGCACATCTTCTGCTGCCAAATCTCAGCCTCTAGATGACACTAGCACTAACTCGGTTTATCTTGCATGAGATATATGAATTTAAAGCCACCCATTTGACAAAACGGTCACTGCTTTTTCGACAACTCAATATTACGGCCTACTCTCCCAATGTTATTACTGAAAAAATCGACAGGTATTCTCTTCTAAGCAAGGATTGGAGAGAGCTTATTTCTTAAGACGATCAAGCTGGTATTGTTAAGTGGTTGACTCAAAAACTATTGACTAAACTTATCTTATATATTTTACTCACTTCGAGCCTTGTCAAACATTGTACAATTGAATTCTCCTCGTAGGTTTTAGTATTAGCGCTCTGTAACTTGGGGGTAAAAATACTTTTTGGGTAGAACAATCAAAGGACTGAAAATGACTGTAGTGTAATTAAGAACAAAGAGAAGGAAGGGATTTTTTTAATCTGATCTGCAACAACGTTAACAACGCATTATATTAGCCAAAACGAACTAGTTAAATACGGACAGTACACTGGACAAAAGTACGTTACTACTCATAAAAATACAATAAAAAAATGAATGAAATTATGAAGGTATGTTTTTATTTTATATTAGTGTTTATCTATACAAAAAGGATAACCCTGGTAAAAAAAAGAATAGCACGACAATCAAATGCAAACAGTCAAATAGGTATACGTTTATGTTCGATAGTTGCCAGTAAACAGTGCGTTGTGCAATGAAATGTATGACATATATATATATATATATATATATAACGGTGCAAGCAACATGATATTCAACATAAGTACATGTCTATGACTCTAGGGGCAGAGCAAATGGTTGTGAAGCGACCAATGACGTCTAAGTTAAGCCAGTCCGTCTCATCTTTGGGGCAGCAATGAAAAGGCCAAAATCACGCAAGAGTTGTTTGAACGAGTGGCTTATTGAAAGTCGTCCCGTGTGGTGTTGGGCGCCAGGAAGCCCAAGCGATGGCCTGGGAAGTATGATCGACTTGCGAAAAGACGGAAATGGTCACCGAACCAGATCGTGAATCGTCGAAATTAGCAAGAAGTGGTTTTCGTTGCGTTCGACTTAAGGAGCACCATAGGTGAATCGTAGGAAAACTTTAAACAAAAGTTGCATGGGCATTTGTCCCGATAGAGGCTGGTTTCCTCAGTCGCTACGAGGGTTGGCGAGATACTAAGCGAGTTCGTGAGTGCTAAACGGTATCAGCTAGACGCGTTGGGTATGAGTTTAGTGTGTCCTCGGATAACATTCTCAGGTAGGCGAGATCAGCACTTTTCTTTAATTTTCTCCCAGGGGCAAGAATAACTTCCTATGCCGAGTTGAAAGTTTGGATGGTGCAAGACTATATGCCAAAGAAGTTTTTTGATGGTGGGGCGTACGAAGCGAATTGCGCTAGCATTGTGTAGTTCTCTCCAGTTCGACGACGGAAATGCGGCTTGAATCATTGGTTACTTACTAACTCGTTTACCATGAGCCTTTGCAACGGTGCCGATTTCGTGGCACATCAACTGGCGGGATATCGGTGGATAGTAGTTATCAGCGTACTGCTGAAGTCTGGAAAATGGACGGGTCTGTACTCACACAAAGCACGCTTTCCCATTTCGACCCCAAGAAATAAAAACCTTTATCCTGCAAACAGTCGGGGTCTTGACGCGTTTTCCATTGTCATTAAGGTCATACACACGCAAACTGTCCACTACCTGATGTCATGTTATTTTCCAAACAGAAATTTGGACCAACACGGATGCTTATGTACGCGACTGCGATGTGGGTTAATTTGTACACTCCTTTCTATTCGGCAAGCGATTTGCTAATCCACCGCTAGAAAATGAGTGTTAATACGATAGGGCGGGCAGCCGCTAGTACTACCACGAGAACAAAACTGGCTGTAGGTCTTGGTGTATGGGTACGTTGCGGCGTCGAATGCCGGCAGTTGTGCCACTCATTATTGGGTTGGGATAGCTATTGGATAAGTATACGAAAAGATCATTCACTTAGAGAAAGCGATGTACTACTGACCGCTAAAGCATATCGGCCGCGGAATCAAGACATCTCGCTCGGTAAACATGGCCAAGCTGCGACAAACGATATGGTACATTACCCCTTGAAACACGCTCATATAGTACTAGGCGACTATAAGGGGTTTCGTTCTGTGAAGCGTTAATTCCTGAAAGCGAATGCCATCACTAAGCCGGTTCGTTTCCATGTACATCCTGCTGGTAACTTCCTAATAACTAATGTCCTTAATAGAAGGTAACGCACCTGTTACGTCAAAATATTTTATACTAATGTTATATTTACTACTAGTGTTATGGTTTTTTTTTTACATGACGCCATACCTGAAAAAAACTTAATGAAAATACTATAATGAGTTTAATATTCTTAATAATACCTCTATATTATGTGTACTTCCAATCACCCTCACGAAATTGCTTTGAGGCAGGACAAACAGCGATCGGTGTCAGAAGCAGCGGCCCACGTAACTGTTAGAAACGTTCGACCGACACAACGGTAAACATCAATAACATAGTAGAAAAAAACTCAGTTATATAGTGCTTTATAGCTAATCCTCTTCTATCGGTGTACGTTTCTTGAGTCCTCGGCGGGTCATAACCGTACGCTTTATAACTATTAATTAATTAGTAATTAGCTCATTTTTTGTACTTTATAAGGCGTTCCTACTTTTTTTTTATGGAGGGAGTGCTACATTGGATGACTTTTGTAACTTTTAATTTACATAAGATGCCAAATACACTTGAGGCTATGACTGGGAATGTAGCGCAGCTAGCAACGTGAAATATAAAATGGGATATTTCATATTACTACTAGTGATATTTTATATTACTTTTTGGCCTCTATTCCATGGAGCTTTAGTAGTTCTCAGACGGTTATACCAGAAGTAAGTGACCAAACGTCTGTACGATCATTTTAAGTGTCGTTACATGGAGACATAATGATTTCTGCTTTGATAGAGGCAGACGCACGTCCACGCCTATTATATAATCTCTTGCGGTTACTAGGTTATAACACCCATGGACAGTGTAGCGAGTATTTTTGCGCGAAGCGATTTAGACTTAGCTTGTTCACATTGAATTTTTATATATCTTATGTCGTACTTTTCTGCAGCTGCTTCTGTGCTTCAACGGCTGCTGTTGTGACGTTCAGGCTAATGGAGGAGAAGGTAAAGGGATCAGCGAGTGAATCGGTGTTTTGACTGCTGCTGAGCTGACTGCTCAGACGTTTCCCTTCGCTTTTGCCCCGTTAGCCACGTTGTACCTTCCGACATTGCTACCGTTGGCCTTCCGCATTTCGTCTACTTCGTCTTCATCAGTCGTCCAAAAACCTTAAACGAACACGCACACCTAGTAGCCGTCGAGCAGAAGCAACGAACCCGTCGATGATTCGACTGCAGCCACCATTCCAGCCACTGCTTCTACTACCTATTTTATACCACTGTAGCTATATCACTGATCGTTGTTTTTGTGCTGTTACTGTTGCCGCCGTTTCTGCCGGTGCTGTTTCGACTGCACTCCGCCCAATCTATGGCATTCACCGCCCTGTGTTAGCTGTAATAGTGATGATGGGCATTTGTTCGCCTTGTCGTCGTCTGTCTGTGAAGTAAAGAGAAGGAGGGGGCATTAAACGGGGCGGCGGGTTGAAATGGCCCCCATTGTCGATAATGTCGATAGCATTCTATTAGCGGCGATTCCACAGCTGACGGGAAAAGTTTAAAAAGCGCGGCGACGAGATCGCGAAAAGGCGCGCGTGAAACGCCGTAATTACGACAAAAGCGCACGCTTGTGTGGTGAGTGCCTCGTGGCCGTACCGAATTAATCTTATATTTGGGTAGATTACGGGTAAACATGTAATATGCCACAGGTTGCGACTAGACACAAAATAAATTGCATCGTGTAGACGGTTAGATATTATTTGTATGTTTGCCCTATTTATAGTCGTTGCGTTACTTTTCTCCAGGAAAATCTGCTCTCCCTTCTTGTGTATGTAGATATATATATATATATTACCCATTACTACCTTTTCCTCTCAGTGTTTTACTCTCAGGTAACATTAGGGGTTTTGAAAATGGAACGCTGAAACCTATGCGAATTGCGAACGTAACACTGTGAATTATGTCGTAATTTACGTTGGCAATACTTATGCTTGCAGTAGTGCAAGTATCGCCGATCAAGTGTATGACTGTTATCCAATCACTGAAATCAGGAAAGTGTGCATGGAAGAGGCTAATCCCTTAATCAAGAACAATTAAGTTCCATTTTTATGACAGACAATAATTAATCAGTGTGTAATATGTACCGCACAAGTCACTATATTATTTATTTCATTCATATTTTATTAGTTTAAAAGTCTTGTGAAAGAGATGGTGGTAAAAACCTCTATTGCAGAGTACGGACTACCTAGTCGTAGTAAAAATATGATTTCATTATGTGGCAGTTATGACAAAAAAATCGAGTCGTTTTGTAGTTACGCTGGCTTTCGGTGTGTTTTACGAGGTATGGACATTTTTGTTCTTGTTAGAACTATCGTTTGCTTCTAGCAACCGTTGCAGTCTAGTTTTATCGTTTAACGTACGTAAATATTCTATTAAGTGCAGCTATATTATATAAAAATGTTACAGGGTGATAAGTGTGACGAAATAAGTGACTCGCTAAAAGAGTGAATGTGTAACAGACAAGATAGTGTAATAGATGCACTTTCACTAGTCAATTGTGCAAAATGTAAATCGCACATGGCTAAGTCTAATGTGCAGTACATTAAATTATTCTGTAGAGCCATAAATTAAGGTATTAATAATAGTTCGATAATTACAAAATAATTGGGTATTTGTTGAATCGTCGCCTACACAGGCTTATAGTACTGACAAGACGGCTCAACATTTTGTGTAACATTTGATTAGTATGTTATTCATAAGTTTTGATAAGCTTACAGAATTGAGCAAGCTAACCTTTCACGCTTTTGAAGTTAAAAGATTTATGCGATTTTCTGATTAGTCGTCTTAGTCATGGGCAAAGCAACGTGAGATTATCGTATAATCGACTTAAGCAATTACTCAGCGGGTTCAAAGCAAAATGAAAACAAACCATGAATGTCGTAGTGGAAGACTGCAAAAAAAAACATGAAGATTCGTTGATAATAAGCAAATTAAGTTCAGAACGAAATTTTTCATTTTGTCGCTAATTTTTCCAAGGTCTTTGTGATCTTACAGCTTATTGGTATGGTCTTTGCTGTTGCACGATGTAACGTATCCAGGTCTTAGCACCATCTTGAACAAAATTTTGTAGAACCCCCAGGCAGTCAGCTTTGCCTGCCCTTTTCATTGCTTTCCTATTTCAGTTAACGAAGATAGCATGGACTGTTATATTCTGATGCGAACATTTCACACACAAGTATAGACTTCTTAACAAACGTATCTTCTAATTAGCTATACTTGTCGAAATAATTCCGGCTCATCTATGATATGCTCAATATTAGTGCCACAATAGAACCGGTTAGCGCGCGCTATTTTCATATTATTGATTACAATCATTATCACTCTCAATGGCATTGCGAACACGAGACGAAATCATATATATTATCAACATTGTAATGATTACCATAGTAAATCGTTTACGGCTCTGTAATACCGAGAGTCATCGAAGTATCTCAAAGCGGGAGTAATGCGTGGTTCTTTGTAGTTAGTGCTGCTGCTATAGTCGCCTAGACAAGACGAAACTGAACCTAATTCCGTTAGACACCAAGAGACGTTCTTAAGTATTTAAATTTCTTTTTTTTCTTTCTATTCTTAGCGCTGCCTATTAGCCGTTTCCATTGCGCAAAGCGTGCATTACTTTCAGAGAATGTCAACAAAAAAAAAGGTTGCAACACTTTATATACTTAGCAGATGGGGTCAAAGTGCCTTCACATCTGATTTAAGAAAATAAAAATACAAAAAGCTGATAGGCCAGATAAATAAGGGGCTAGCTAATAGGCAAGTAAGCCATGCGCGCCATTGTCGGCGATAAAGCAACCCGTGGTAATCACAAAGTGAATGGTAGAAGCATGCCAGAAGAAGACACTTGCCCCCCTACATCTAAATACTAATAGGGAATGCTGCTATCTACGTTGGTTTATGCTTTCTATAAAGTGCTACGATTTAATAGACTGTTTATGCTATAGTAGACAATCCTTGGGTTTGAGCCGAATCGTAAAATCAACTTATGTAACGCAACGCAGTGTACTGATATGACTAATAGAACTGCATTTGCATTAGGTAGCCAGCGGTCATATATGCAAGTATTATTGCCCTTATTATTGTTACCATTTGTATATTTTTAAATAGTTATGGCTTTAAAGTCAAGCAGATTTTTTCGTTTATTGACTTTTCATTTAAGGTCAACTCAGATAGTAGGACAAGACGTTATTACCGTTTCTGTGATACCGCAATCACAAAAGCTACAGCACCTAGTGAGTATTTGGAAAAGCCGTCTTGTTTTTAACTTTTTAGTTAGAAATAAATAAATATTAAATTAATGGCAATTTTGAGTAGCTTCAGGATTTACCATAACAGCTGCCGTTTATTTAATTGTTCTAATAATCTAAGCACTCCAGACGTTCTGCTGTCTGATCGCATCTTCGATCGTATTTACAGCTATAGTCAACGACTAGATAATTAGATTAATTTATAAATTAATTGATATTAATAGCCATCCCGAAAATCCAATTTCAAATGGAATGACAGATAATGACTTCCTGAACAGTAGGGATGTTTTTTAGCGCTTCTAAAGGTATCTGATTTGGTGCTACAGACCGAACTTTGTTTTAGAGAGGTCAGGTTAATTTTGGAGAAAATTTTTCTCATAATAGTCAAAACTGTTTTTGCTTCTACTTACAGAGCCCTCTGCCAGCCGAAGCGGATGGAGTTAAGTGAACGAAAAAGAAGGACATAAGTAGAGAAAATTAGGGGCTCTACTGCAAAGGAAGTCAGTTGGCAGAACATGGAACTAGCAAGCGTTCATCGAAGGGGTCATCATCGAGGAGCATCGCTTGACCTTCGCTCCATGTTTGGTCTCGGTTCCGGGCTGCACGTTCAACATTTTAACTCTGAAGTCAGTGTTCCGACACCTGATCAAACTTCGTCCGTCAAAAAACCCACTCAGCAGTATCCAGTTGCTAGTCATGACACGCATGACGTCTACCCCGTAGCATGTTACCCACTGCGGATTCCCGGTGGTGCTGCCAGGATTACCAAGAGTGGTACATGCGATTCTTGTGGATCTTCCTGTATGACATCATCTTGTAGTTGCGGTACAACGAGCAATGGCTGTGGGGGGGCACACTGCGGTCAACGAGAAGCAGTTGCTCTATCAACACCTGCCCCCATTTCAAATGCGAGACAGCAACATCAGCACGTGCGCAACCTCAGCCTTGATTCAGCTCTTCAACAGCAGCGTCAGTTGCAACATCAGCACCATTTGCCATTACATGCGGCTCATCTAAACGAGCATCCGCTTCTGGTGCAAGTAAGTTATTAAGGCCAAACTAAACAATTAGCTCTAGTTCTTGTATTGGTGTCTTGAAGTATCACAAACAAGCCATTACCGTCTCGAGTGCAATATTCTGTTGAACTATTCGAGCTCTATTTGCCAGTGTGCTCAGCTCCTTATACTCAGTCGCGGACAAATGAGTAGCTTAGCTTAGTTAATTAAGTTGTCTCAACTTCACAGCGCTATAATCGTTGAGGCTTGGCCAGCACTGAATTGGCACTACACGACGTAGGATTCTATCAATAGACCTGTAAAATTTTGGTCGATAATAACCATATATTATCACTTCTTCTCCAAACAATCAACTAAGATTTACTGTTAACCTAAACGTTTAATTTGAATTAAATCTAATTAGTGTTTGTTAGGTTTTCTAAAATACTATGCGGCGCGAATGCGATCGCATACGTCATACACATAACACCATTGTAAATCAAAAGGGATAAGAATATGCCCTCGACAAGTTAAGTCTGTGTTGTTGAACCCAGCAATATTCTATCATTTAGTTCTCTAACGTATGGGTATAGTCCAAACATCCGTTAACTTTAAATACCCGGGATCCAAAAAGGCGAAAATCTCTGTGCGTAATAAACATGGAAACTTACCACTGACCCATTTTGCCAGAGCCCTTCTTATAATCTGAAAAAATCTCTGGAAACACCGACGTAATACGTACGTATTATAAAGTAGATCAATATTGATTTCATAAGGTATTTAATGACAAGAAGCATTTATATCATATAGACAAGTTTACTAGAAATAAAATGAATAGGTGTTACTGTCGGCATTAAATTTTATCGTTAAATTTGTTGATACGAAACGATCAGTTGATCGTTAAATAAGCCGTTTGCGTGAGGAGCTAAAATGCAGAACGAAGTTGTTCTCATCTATTTTTAGCACTATATATTATCAATTATGTGTGTCAGGGTTCGTGGAATTTTGTTGAGTCTTTTAGCTAATCTCTAGGGCTTGAAAATTTTGGCCTCTGTCGGAATTGCGTCCGCGTGGCCATACTACTATTAATTATATATTCAGGTCAATCATTCATAGCTTTTTCCATTTTAAGAGTTTTTTGTATTCATCGAAATATGTACGCTATTATTATTCATACTTACAAAGCGCACTTCATGCTTGTTTATGTCTAATAGATAGTTTTGCCCCTGTGGTTGAATGAGTTATCCAGCTGAAACGAACGCGTACGCTTCGTTACTTGTCCAGACAATTCGTTGTTCATTCGAACATTCACAAAGCAGCGCATCTGATTACCTTCTCATTATACACTTCGGGCAACAACCACTAAAAAGCAAATTATTACCTATAAAATGTACACGATACAGGTTTATACAGGACTGAAGCATGCATTAATGTTGACTGTTGTGACTGTAGGTAACTGGTCACAGCTTGCCCGTATAGTTATCTAGCCACTGCTGCTAGGAATGTACTTTTTGTATGTGCATTGTCATCGACACTTTCAAGTCTTGAAGCCATATCCTATATTAGCGGCATATGCCGTATTAGACAAATGTCTCGTTGTTCCACATTCATTAATCACTAGAAAATCACTAAACAGGAAAGTATATATAGACCTATATATTGCATAATGGCTCGTGAATATAGTACGTTAAGTTATGTAACCCTCTAGTATCGCATTTGGGAGTGACACATTTATCCACCGAGACCTTTTATAGACGTGCTCAAAAAGATACGTACGTTTTCATAGACATTCACCTTTTTCAAGCCCGACCTTATTTGTGTGGACAACGTTATTTGAAGGACGATACAGAGCATTCTGGTACTTACTGCCGTTTTGTGCAGTTGGTTATCCGCACATCTTTCGAGTCGTTTGTGGGAACAGCAACAGCTGTTGTGGAGCTGAATTTGCGCTGAAATTTGTTATGTTTTCTCCTCCTTCTCGGTTTTTTTGATAGGTATTTGTTGATGCCATGACAGTTCCCTGTATTGTCGTCTACAGCAACGTACGTCTTCAATGACAAGTCAGTCGGGGTTAGGGAATCTTGGCTATTTGCAGTTTTTAGCAGTGTCATCTGGTGACCGGAACGGCATTGACTTCTGCTGATGCGAGCTACGGCGACCTTCGCTTTAGTGACCCAGAATCTGTACGAGATAGCCCATTAACACAAAACGCCGTGGCGTCTAGAACAACAACAATAACAGCTTTACCACTGAGTGATTACAGAATTGAGCGATGTTGCAGACAAGACATAACAGCTTTTGCTGTGCAACACCGATAATTTCCCACTTCTTTGAGCTGTGTATATAGTACAGAAGCTGTTTGGTTGTTGCTAAAATATTGAATGGGAAGTCGTTGTTGAGTTGGGGGCGAGTAAAAATATGGTCTGCGTTCTGTTTTGGCCGACTTCATTCGAATACATGTGAGCACTTTCTGTGTGCGTCCACGAACGCCGTTTTCAAGCTGTTAGATAAGGAGAAGGCAAGGGCAAATACAAGTCGATTTTCTATGGTCACTGTGTCTCGTACCAAACAGTTATTTGGTCAAAGAAACATCGGGGCCACTGTTAGTAATAGCAGGAGCGCCAGGGCAGACCAAAGGACGGACGAATTGGGGAACGACAAAGACAAATAGTGGTATGAATGACTTTGGCTTCATTGCCGCTAATCGACACTGTCTTGCCTCAATGCAGAATCTAATTATTCGATATCTCTATGGTCACATACATTAGTATCTCTGTTTGGACCGTTATTTTTATAGATGTTGCAATTTTTATTGAGACGGCTGGTCTTGCTCGTCGCACCTGACCATATTAAAACGACGACAACGTTTCATGCTAGAGTGAGACAGACGCACTTGACCCTATTGAGAAATATATTCGTTTCGTGGTTTCAATAGGTTACCTCGAATGTGTATTCTATGTAAAAGCTTTGATCGTTAATTTTCTCTTTTCTTCTGGACATGATGCACTTCACTCGGTTGTTTAATTTTTCGTAAATGAAGACAAGTCAGCGTCCGGTATCGTTGATAATAACAAGTCAAACGGAACAATGATAACCCTTAAACTACTCTAGATTCGACATGTATTGACCAATGTTTTACGCTCTTCTTGTCGTCGTCGTCATTGTCAGAACATAGTCAGCATCAGCGTTTTTATCTGCCTTTACGTAATGTTGCCCCTACCGGATAGTTTTTATTGATCAAACACGAAATTCGTTATAACAATGAAAAGCAGTAATAATGCTCATTAAATCTGCTACAACAACTAATGGAGCTCTTCGCTAGCCAAGCGCCGCGGAATATAACAAGGCTGTAGCCTTTAATTATCAAAACTGTTATAATTAGGTCTATTCTTTATCAATTGATTTTATTATTATTCCTGCCATTTCAACGAGATGCCCCTTAGACGTGTGGTGCAAACAGTATGCCAGCGTTGCTTAGTATTTTTTATTATTGTGTTATTAGTATCGATTATCTGGTAGAGATAAAACTGTAGCAGATGATGCTATGAGAACTAAGATGGCGGTCGTGCTACCCGTTCATTTGCGAGGCAGTGTGATTATACTAAAGAAAAACAGCGTAACCAACACGATATATGACGAATTTGAATGGTACTTTCTTCTAACAGTGTTGTAATGGTGTTATCCATGTATATAGCTCTGTGGCAATAGCATTGACTATCGTGAATGCTCTGATCATGTATTTAGTCAAAAGCTGTTATTTACTTTTTGCTAGACTTTGTTATTTTTTTCGCTGACATTAGATATATCTCAGCTCCCTTTTGCCTTCGCCCACCTTTGCTGCTATATTATACAATAAACCTGCGTTCCCGACCCCCGCACCTTATATTCATTCAGTTCTTTGCAACAACTCTCGCATATGGTAGTATTTGCAGCTCAGCGTTCTATTTCTGTTTACCTATGTAGTCATCCAAGCTATAGACAAGAGAGCTTACAAATCATCCTGTAGTATGTAGCAAAAAAATGAGTTTAATAATGGTAATCGATTGCAAGCAATACTTTTGACCTTACTATGATTGAGCAGTCAATTGAGCGAACGTCATTGTTTTGCTTATTTTGAAGTTCCTAATGTCATGAAGGAACAAGTCGTTTCTAGAGTTTTCTTACGTTTGGGCGATCCGTGACGTTGATTGAAGCTGGCCTATAATGTCCTAAAATTTCTATAATGAATACGCAGTTGTTTTGTTTGTACTTATAAGGTATTTCTACAGGCCTTTATTAGCACCCACAAACAGGTGAGCCTTAGATCATATCTATGCCACATAACTCGCTGAAATACTTTTATTTTAATACTTTTTTCAGGCTGTCATTTTAAAAACTTTTTTTTTGTCTTATAAAAATGTGTACACATAAATCAAGCGTGTATAAATGGAACAGACTTTGACACATCTTTAATTTGATCGGGCGTCAGTAATGTACATTTGCATAGCTCTGGGTTCAACGAGTCATCAAGCTCTGTAAAACAGAATTGTTAAAACAGTTCCTGAAGTACATGATTTCTTTTTTGGTGTTTACCTTCAGTCTACGTTTTGTGATCCTTTGGGCGAGAAATGTCGAGATAGGTTTTATGAAGTATAGTCACACGCTTGAGTTCTAAGATCTGTCTTTTTCTTTCTATGAAATATCGAACAATTCTTTAATTTTCAATATTTATTATCTTCAGGAAACGGATGGAAGCTCACTAGCCAGTGACGATTCGGGTATCTGTGCAGCTGCCGAGATGCCAGATTCCGAACATTCTAGGATGCCGCCTATCAGCAATGGATTGTTGGGTCCCGTACCGCTTCTTAAGACGACGAATGGAGAAGGCAGAATTTTGAATCAGCATGAGGGTCCGTCCTGCAGGCAGGCGCGATCTGACAGCTGTTCCGAAAACTCTTCTCGTTTTGATGCATCGACAACAAGCGGTGATGAGAGTCCAAATCTACCTGGATGTCGTACATCGATCGAAGAAAACCCACGGGATCCTGAGCCAGAACTAGCGCAACGACTTGCAGCAGTAATTGACCTCGCGGAGAGCGCTGCGCTCTCCGCATCCTCGGTGCCTTCAGTCGATCACAATCAGCGGGTAGCACAATGGACGTCAAGACAAACGCCCGAAGAGCGGCCCGGTTCGGAGACGGAGCTGGAGTCATGCTGTTGGAATAACCAAGATGCTTACAGTAGGAAGACGTGCGGCCCTCACAGTGACTACTCCACTGATTCAAAACCCGAGAAACAAGCGTCAGGAAGCAGGCAACTCCAATCAAAGGAAAAAGCATCAGAGAGATGCCGCAACGGTAAAGATATTTTGGCTGCAGGAGGTTCCCAGGCAGCTGATCTGGTGTTGAAAGCGCCCCCGCTGCCTTCTAACCAGTCGGGGCTGTTACGATTGTTTGAATCGCGATTATTCACGATGCGTTACGCTGTGCAGTATCTTTCGCAAAGTCGAGAAGCTGGCGTCCTAGCTTATATCGGTAATCGGATGTTTGCGTTCGATGACGCCGATGTAGCATTCTATTTACCACAACTTGTATGCCTGTACGTTCACCATGCGGACGTTGCTGAAGCTATCAAACCGTACCTAGTATTAAGGTGAGTATCCTGCTATGATTGTATATAGTGTTTAACGACCAAAAGTTGCCATACATCCTATGGTTTAAAGAAACCATTGGCTGAAATGGCTCTATTTATTCGGTTTAAGACGAGCGGGTCTTTGTGGACACGTCGTTCTCGTCTCATTACCTGTGCATTATTGTTTTTTTCGCTACTGAGCGACATGGGATTCAGTTAGCGTTATTCGGTCGGTTTTAAGACATCTCATATAAAGGAAAGTATACTAATTCACTTGAAATGTTTTCGGTTAAATTAATAGAAATGTGCGAATTAATAAGCGTTGTTTGACTAGCAGTTAATGTTCGAAGCAACCATAACGTAGACCCAATGGAAATAAGTCGGCCAATGATCCGTATAATAGCACACCCGATATCTGCACATTGATGATTTCTGTAGTTATTTTGTATGAGTAAGAACAAATGGACCGTAATCAATATTGCATCGTGCACATTTTGCACTGATTATATTCAAAGAAATCTAAGATTTGGCGAAAATATTCTATAGACCAGAAGTCTGTGCTATACAGCCGTGAGACATTATTCTAGTCATAATGACACTATTGTGATACGTTGTGGTAAACAATGGCGGACAACAAGAGCAACGAAGAGAACCACATTGTCGATAATCACCAATGTCTTGCGGCGTTTTCGGCTCACAGACGGACGTGACAGATAAATTCTAAAAAAAGAGTAGTAACTTAGCTTTTTTTTGTCGGGCCTAAAAGTTACCCATACGTATTTATTCCGAAGTACGAATTTTCTGATTTCAAAGTATGCGGCCGATATCCTATCCGCTCATGATCCGCCATCGTATATTTATGGTCCATCTGCTATTGATTACCAGCTTAACACCTATATACACGCTCTGTATTTGACTCAGTCAGTTCTGAATAAGCTGTTTATTATTTCGCTTTCGATTTCGTTAAGAAAAATTAACCAATATGGCTTACATGTGGCAGATACTGTTGGGCTAACATTTGTGGTGCAGTTGACTGCGGAACGCCAAAAATGTAGACGCTTACATTCTGTGATCGGTCGATTTAACCTTAGAGATAGATAGATATATATATATAGAGAGAGAGAGAGAGAGAGAGATTCAATTTAACCCTACGATTAATGTACGGCTTCGATTTTCTCTATACTACACTTACTCTTAATTGGTTAGAGGATATATTAATTGCATATACACAGAAAGTTTAGGTTTTTGAGCTAGTGATCCATGCCGTGGCTAAAACCGGGCTTCGTAGGTAAACTTTTCAATTCACATAGCAGTCTTGTAACTCGATGGGATACTTCCGTGCAATCTTCAGTAGTCCAATGGCATTAAACATCAACCCTACTGTTGTCAATTTCTCTAATGCTTTGCAAGTTTCTAGATGTTTATTGGCTTCTTTATTGGCTATTTTGATACTTAGAGGTACCGATTTACTGTTGACGGGAAAAATATTTAGTGGAACCTTTCCTGGTCGGTGGGACTTTCAGACTATAAAGACGTTTGTTTGCCTGCTTTGTTGTTTTTTAAACCGTTGTTTACTTTTTTTTACCACAAATAGCTTACACTAGCAAAAGAAAAAATTGTTTACAATTTGCTATTGTTAAGCTACCTTCAAAGACACTATCTTCAGAAAACAGGGCTTGAGTAATCTTTGATCTAATTATATTCGTTTTCCTGTCGATTGTCTATGCCAGCAACTATTGTTACTATTATCAGTCCTTGAACGGACTGCGTCGCGTATTTGCTAATTATGTTGCATTGGCATATAACCACTGAATAATGTGATTATTAAGATTACCTAAATCTAGTTGATGTCGTTTTTTGTCTACACGTTCAGGATAACAAGATGCTTATAGATTTCACTAGTTCGAAAGGACGCTGAACTTTGCCGAAAACGGCGAAACCCAAGACATACCAGGTTACTGCAGTGAAAGTAGCTCTTTAAAATCAAACAGCTTATCGTTTTGTATATTTGAACGTGAATTTTTTTGGATGTACCCTTTTTTTATGTGTTCACGATCATTAAGTATTGTCGTCGTCCTATAAAACAACCACATTAAGTTTAAGAGGTGCCAGCTGGTGCCCGTATGAATTACTGATTTCTGTGCTTGTATTTAAATTTTATCTTATACAAACTAGTACTAAGGTACGTCGCTTCGAAAGTTTCAAGGGTCGTGCAGCAAACCGTAGGAATTAGTAGTTCTCAAATATGGAATCTTGCATTTACATATCATATTAATTAATTCAAAATGTGTTTCGAGTTGATCGGCCTTCCTTGTGTTATAAGTTTGCCTTTATACATGAGACTACTGATGCAATACACAATCACATTGAATACCTGCACAGAGGAACAAAATTAGCGGTGAAACTTGAGTTCTGTAAAGTTTTCTGTTAGAAAGGTGATTCCTATTAACAAGACGGTAATCTGGTTTTTATTAAGTTAAGCCCTTCAAATAGATAGAAATCTTTTGCAATGCTTAGTATTTCTAGTAGAGAAAGCAGACATGTGTCAAGGAGACTCTATCTAAAGAACAAACCTCGATACCGTTTGATAGTTTGCCATAAAGGATACTCCATTGTCCAGTGACCAAATATTACATGTTGTGGACGTGGAGTCAGGAACTTGGAACGCGCAGTGCCTGTCGACGTCTGTATGCAGGGGATCAATAGCGGGACACGGTGTACCTACCGCCTTTATTACAGACACACATACTAGCTAATCATGGACCATTCCTATAATCGATCCCTAATTTATGCAGTTAAGTTCTGCCATCATCATTCGTTCGGAAATAGGTGATCCAACGCTTTTTAGAGAGGCAAAATGTGGTGCTTGAGTCATGATTTTGTCCATTTACTATGCCTCGCTATCTTTCTACTTGTGGATTTATTTTTCACTGTTCTCTTTGACCCAGTTCATGGATATGTTTTTATATAGCTCCCTTCGTCGAACGAATGGTGCCATTACTACCGTTAACTGCTATTTGCTGTTGAACTTGAAAATTGTTCGACCAGTGCACAACTTACATTATAGGTTGTCTATTTGTTTTTCGACTCACTATTAACTTTATGCCAATTGTCTAACGGTTGTCTGAACAGCTGAACATATTGTCGTTATCCTCGTCGCTTCTGCCATCGATGACAGAAATGGAAGCAACAACTTAGATTCAACCTTTGTTTCTTAGCTTAACTCAGATGATGCCTTATACAACCAACACTGCAGACCTATCGCATTATCCTTCACTCATACAGTTTTTTTTTCTTCTCAAAAAACCCCATATTACAGACGGTTGTTGTTAACTATGGTTGAGATAGGAAGCCAACCTGTTTCCAACGGCATTTAAACGATAGGAATAGCAATTCCACGAAGCGTACGGAAGCGAAACTGTGATCTTGTAGCTATCATTTCTGAGTTATTTGCAATTGGGTGCGCTTATTGCCCTTGCCTGCTTGAGCGTTTTTATTTTCGCATTGCCCCATGTGCACGCTTCCCTGCGTGAATAACTGTGCATTTCGAGTGCATCGGTAACAGGAAATGCGAATAAACTCGATTCTCCGATTCAGACAGATGACAGAGAAACACGAACTAAACGATTGAGTGAAACGAAGGTACGTGACTGACTCATGTCGATACGGATCGGTTATTGTTACTGGCGCTGCTTTTAACGGATGTTCTCAGCGGCGGTCGTGTCCCTTTGTTGTCAAGACTTATTGGTTACTTGAAGGAATTTAGTGGTGGCTGATAATGGCTGTCTTAGCCTACATGATGCCCATCAGTGTTTCCTTCTAATATACTCTTTTACATTTATCCGCGGTCACTGCTCGGCCTCTCTCTAAGAAGCTGCTTATTTTTACTGACTGCCATTTAACCACTGGCGGATGAACATCCGATATCTATTAAGCGATTTATGGTATTAAGTTTGAAGGAACGGATCCCGGAAGTCAGAAGAGCATTTAGATGGTTTCGGGAACTGCCAATTATGAATCAACACCCTTGTCACTTGGTTATATTTTGAATAAGAGTGTACGAACAGTCTCTTGCAATGAATTATCGTATACTTGAAGCGTTGGTATCTATGACGCGCCCTAATACCGATATACTTTGTAGGGTTACAGCTGGATCGGCTACCATGTAAATACACCAGATTACAAAAATCGTCTTTCCTGATATTTCGGAGTTTTTCTAACCCTTAGTAACTCGAGCATTGATATTATTTGAATACGGACAATTACCACTTGCATGTTCGTTTATTAAACAAAACCTTTATGAATTAGTTATGATACATTTGGCGACTGTGTGTGACTTGAAAAGTCAGGACTCGCTGATTTAAATCTAGCTATTTACTTAAACCTATATATTTTTAGTGTTTTGCAGATAAACATGGAGAACATTTTTTCTTGAGCAAACATGATCCTTCCAAAATGTCGTATATACCCAGATCAGTTCCAAAATGCAAGAACGTGTAGCTGTTTATTGGCATCCTTCGGTTAAAAGAGATCTCTTGTCGGGTTTTGCCTACTTCCGGAAGTTTCGCAGATGTAGGGCGATTGATAGAGTAAACAGGAAGAAGTCGTTGGAGCCTTCGATCCGCGACCCCGTTAATAGAACGCCCAGAATATCTGAGCGCACAGTTTTGCCAAATGATTATAATTGTTCTCAACAAAATTATCTGACGCATTTTATGTACCCATCCACGAGTTTCCCCTAAATCAGATTCCAGAATCGTCGGAAAAGAAGAATACAAATATAGTTAATAAATATACATATCTTAGGGAGAACTGGGGATGGACCACGAGATAATTTAGTACAGAGTTGGTTGTGTTGGCATCGAATTCTGGCAGAATCCTGAAGCTGCATACATGAACAGGGCCAAATCTTGCCATAAGTGCTATTCGCGCTCCCGAGTTCGTGTTCGATAACAATGCACTAAATGTCAGTCCGTGAAACGGCAAAATTACGAAAAAACTTTATTTATGGCCAAAACCTACAAATAGACCTACTGATTTGACCTAATCCGTGTTGAAGACAAAGAACACGTGTGCAAGGGAATATCAACTAGAACTTGCTGGGGCTTTCAGCGAAAAAATGAGTGGCGTGGCCGAGTCCAGTTGTGCCGTCTTGTGATGCCTAATAATGAACCCACTAGAGCTCTCTACTGTCCCGTAACTAGTTTAGGGCCTAGACAGACTTGGGTGGAGTCCAGTTGACGCGGCGATATCGTGCGTTTAGGCCAACTAAGTCTCAGGCTCCATAAGCACCTTCGTGGATGACTGGTGTCCGCTTGCCCTGCTCGTGATGGGAACTGCAATGGTACACTAATGACCTCGTTTCAGCTGATCGTTACATCTGCGAGAGCAAGCAGTACAATCCATTTTGTCTTTATTATAAGACTGAGAACAACCTAATCCCATGTGATGCTTCCGCCTATAGGAAAGCGTCCCGTCATTTTTATAAATTTATCGTAAAAGCTTCCTCCAGCCATTTTCATCACCACCAGAAAGTAAAAACGGCATTTTCATCACAGGAGCTATCTACAACACAACACTCGGACACAAGTCAATAGGAGTGTGTCAGGCAAGCTATACTTCAATATAAAACGTTTAAATATTGCGACTTGTCTTCTAAGCTACATGAAACGTTTATTTATGAGTTATTAAACTTTTTGGTCAGTGGTAAATTACCTTTGACATTTTCCGACCAAGCTTGTATTATCTTTGAGTTCTATGTATTTAGTTTCAAGATTAAATAATTTGGAAGGTTTTAAAAAATATACGTAAAAAAATTCACTACTTCAAATAAGAAATAAAACCCAAATATCGGTGTATATGGAGAATGAAAGAGGACTGCTGGTGCAGTTAAAAATGTATGTTTTCATTGGGCAAGACGACTGTAGAGTATTTGCGTCATCTAATCCAGATGTATGTTTCAACTAGCTAGTATAGTGATGAACATGCCTTTGTGTAGTCGAGCTACGAATACTGGAATATATTTTTTTCTAATCTAGAGTATTGTTTTAAAGCGTCTATTTATGCCGACGAAACCCTGAAATGTACTATAAATCTAACGTTGTTCCGAAGCAAAAATATATTAGCTATATTGTGGCCGGTACGACACGCTAAATGTTTAAGGAAAGATAACGCTATTTTATATTCCCAATAGAACAGCTAAACTCTGGTCAGCCCCAGCTACTCGATAACAACAGATACGAAAGTCGTAATGATATATTTTACTCGTCGCTTCAGATGTCGAAGAGATGCGGACTTTTCGTTGCAACTTTCCTGGCTGTTGTCTGCTTTCTGCGCTGACTGCAACGCTCCATCGCGAAAAATTTCACAGGTAAAACGAATTTCTAGCTCAATAATCTAGTGTATGTATACGGCATTGACACACGTACTATTACTGTTGATGCCCGAATAACGTCGTGAAGAAACTATGCAAGTTTCGCGAAACATTTGTCACCATTATAGAAGTAAGTGATTTCAAGATAGAAAAGCAAAACCGTATGTTTTATTGTCAAATAGGAGTAGTCTTGATTGACTTTGTCTGAATACTTCCTTTATGTTCGTACGTCATGCATCGTTGCTCTTCTAATATGAGATCTTCTAATTATCGCAGTTACCGATAGTGTGTCCATCATCGCTAACTCCGCAATGCGTATAGCTGGATATTCCCATGCATAGAGGATATTTATTTGGGCAAACAAAAAAAGCTTGTGATTTTGTGTCGTATATCGCTATCGTCCCTACGCGTTCTGCCCATTGTGCTCTGGGTTAATGCAAATTGTGCCTACTCAATTTATAGGACGAGCCTGGCTAGGTCGGGGCTAAAACAATAGCCAAGAGTGATGTAAGTTAGATTGACATAGTCGCTTGTTCGTGTCTGAGTACGGGTGAAAATATGCTTGCAAAGATTTCGTTCACAAAAATGCATTTCTACCATGAGAAGAAAACGAGACAAAGGTAAAGGACCAAAGACACGTTGAAGGCTTGCGTGGCTACAAAGCTGAATATACCCAATTTAGAGCTTCTGTACCAGTTAGTATCCAAAAAGACTTCAAAGCCAGAAATCGTAAAGCGTTAAAAACCAAGAAATATATATTATATTTAAATGTTTTTTTACGTGTCGAGCTTAGATGTCAGCCATTAAGTGGTTACCTCCTAAAATGCTTCACTCAATTTAAGTTTATAAAAGTGATATTTGCTTTGTATTTGCATGCTTTACAAAAATTATTCAAGCTTTTTTTTCAGTGATGTAGAGCCAGAGAAGCGCGTGAGTATATACTAAACACAAAGCAGACGACGGGACGACAATGCTGATGTAACGTTGAAAGCACATTAGTGGAATTGCTTAGAATAATACTGAAACAGATGCATTTATAAATGTATATTACTACGACGGGTGTTACGCGCTATTACAGGTAAAAAATTCGACTGACTCTTATGATACGAAACAACGGGCTGTGTTCATTTTTGACCCTTCCTAAGGGCACAGTGGTGCCGATAACAGCCTCTTCATGCTAGTTAGTGGCTGAAAACTAGACCATTTAGGTATACAAATCTATTGGATTTCATAGCCATGTAATATCCAATTAATGATTGGTCGTTACCATTCACGTAAGTTGATTCACTAAGTTGAGGCTACTTTTTTTATGTATTATATGTATATAACGTTTATCACCTTAAATACATGCCACTGCGAATGCGTAGAAAATGAATCTACTTAGAACCGTTAAATTTATTGAAGTTGTGAATTTCGTAGGCCAGGGCAAAATTTCCTATGAGATATACTGCTACTTCTGTATTTATGAGTGAATTGGCCGAGCCACTTTAATCACCTCCTTGTAGCGATCTGCATGTGTTCAGGGCAATATGCAGTCTGACTAAAAATTCTGAGGGCAATTCCATTTTATAGGGACTACGGTTGAAAAATATAATCCAGACGGAGGAGCTTGGTCTAGGCGCAGCAAGATCTCTTGCACTACATCCTGTCAATCACCTTGAGGTCGCAGTAAACCAGACTTCAGATTCTCAGAGAAGTGAAGGCCAAGCTAAGTTCAAGGTTGCCCCACAACATCATCATCAACACCACAGAAGAAACACCGGTCACTATCGGTACGTAACAGTACGTTATAACAGCGTTGTCCATTACCCCCTGCTGTATGACACCAATCATTGCACTGCATAAAAAATAAATTGCACGATTATTATTATCGAACAGTGAAAGCTAGCAGGCAGCTTTCGATATATTCATTCACATGTTCATTCTTAGTGGATAACGGGACATCATAATATCTCTGCTAAAAACGTAGGTGAGCTGAGAGTTTCACGTTATTTGCTTCACTCATTTGTCGAAGTCGAACTTCACTGGATGAAGACGTTCAGTATAGTTCAGATGATTGATGTGTGGTTCTTTCCAGCAAACTTAGAATCCATAACCTAACCCCTAATTAGGTTAATTGTTAGTGTTAGTTAAAAAGTATATTCATCTTTTATTTGTTAGTCCATTTTGTTCCAGAAGCTACTAAAGATTACATTGAAGGTTTATTCGATCCCAAACATTGACAAAAAGTATTGATTGTTTCGATCGTCAATCTCACAAATGTGTTTGCCATTCATCGAAGATAAACATGGACAGTGATCGGGTTCAATTTTGAATACGAAAGGGATCGTTTCCGTAAGTTTAAAGTGTTACCACTTTAGAAAATGGTTGTGGTCGCCGTATAGCCATTCTACGACTAACAACCGAAGTAAATTAGCGGGCACGCGTTGTTGGCTAAGCTCAAAATCGCCCTGTACTGCTGATTCTATACGTTACAAAATAAGCCGTTTTCATGGTACACTTGTTTATATAGGCATTAAGAGCAGGTGGCAATCCTTGATAAAGTCGATTTACACCTATTAAGAAGGCGAGTCTTCGTTGTCTTATAGCTTGTATATCTTCAGAACGTAAGTTGTTTGATTTGCGTCGAGTTTCGTAGTAAAATTTCAAATAGAAGTATAACGCAGTCGGCATAACGTGCTCTGATGCCAAATGGCTTGAGCATAGACGGAGATTCATTACAACGTATCAGGGACAGGCAGTCCTATCGTATGTTATCCTACTCCAGTTCATATTAGAACCGCACAAAGTTTATCAAAGACATCTATAAGATACCACGGACGCGATAAGTTGTCTGTTGTATAAACCATGAATTTTATGGAAAAAGCTAGTGTACAGCTGAATTAGTCTGAACTTAAGTCACATGTGAATCATGAAAAGTATCGATACTTTTTTTCTTGATTTCTGTCAGTTCTCTCTCGGATGCTACTGGCTTGCAACAGCCAAAGTTAACAAATCCTCTACAACACCTCGGAAATCTTTCTTCAGGACACGCTTTCGATTCGGGCTGCCGGTAAGTATGGAAGGACTAGAAAGGACAATGTTCTTTTAGTAACGACAAGCATATGGACTTAACGCTATCTATGTTAAAAAATATTGACTGCCTTTTGGCAAAGCGCAACGTATCGTTTCTTTTGGTGCCAGTATAGGCTTTACCACATCGCTATCGCGAATAATCTGATTTTCATTACCCGTAATCGATCGCCTTAGAAATGGCTTGAGTTTCTGTAGAGTTTCGCAGACGGAGATACGATGCGAGTAGATTCAGTCATCTTTCACATTGAAATTCCTAGAGCGAACACAACAGGACTGTCTTTGGACCGTTTCTTAGGATAGCGCACGTCGTAACATAAATTATCTCATGGCCTGGCTAGTACTGTGACTTTATCCTCATGAAACTATCAAATACAGTGATTTTTTGTACCAATTTCGCCGATTTTTGAGGCACCCTTTTTTAAGTTTAACTAAAAGCATTCAAATAATGGCTTTTTTTTTTTAACAGATTTAACACTGGCAGAGGTGGACTGCCTTTACTATTTTGAAGCCATCTACCTAACGAAAACCCTATATATATAGCTTTTATTTAGAAAATACTGCTTTGAATCACTCAGCATGCACAAGTATAGTAGTAACAATGTGCAAGAAGCAAACCCTAAAAAAGTAACTATTTACAACGTTGTTTATATATATTTAGGTGTCACAGGCTATGCGAATGCGGGGCTCCGAGGTTAGCAGCCCAAAACGAATTCATCAAAGCGCTAATTAAGCTTGGTAGGTGTAATGACGGCATCATTTTTCTCATGTCCTTCATGGTGGCACACTTTGTTATTGTTAAGCACTGGATTATGAAGGACGAACTTTAAAAAAACACATCTAGGATATGCCCGAACGAAATCAACAAGCCATGTTTTATCGTTAGATTCTACTAGCCATAATAAAATTTCCACTCTGGTTTAGCCATATCCTTAAACGTCACGTAGTAGCCTACGTACGTCATATTGATGTGTTCTTTTTCCGTTTCCGCAACAAGGGCCTAATTACAAAATTAGGACTAAAAGAGAGGTGCTTTTTTAAAAAAAATTGAGAGTTAGTGTTCAAATGGAATTCGTTAACATAGATTCCATGATTGACAGAGATCTACAAAACTTTGAAGGCAATAACGTAGATATATCAAAGAAACAATATGATCTCAAATGGCGTAGTAAATTTTACTGTACTATGATGCTATGACTTATCACAGGGAGCATGCTTGCATCAATACCCACAAAGGATCTGAAGACGCAACGATTACAAGCCGAGTTAAATCGGCTAAATATGAATCTTCCGGCAAGGGTGTGGCTGCCTGGTACGTAAACAGCTACGCTAGTTCTCAATGAACCTTTGAACCATTTCTTAGAGTCTTCCTTTTCTCTTAACGCCAGAAAATGACTACCCGCGAGATATAATAATACGTAATAACTAGTAATACAAGCTTTGCTGAAAAATATACGTATGTATATAATAAAAAGATGCTGCTGTAAACAATATTCGGCTTGAGCTATAAATTACGTTTATTTACAATGACAAACATTTGACAGACAACAGTTTTGCCGTCCATGAAACGTATTGTAGTTCACAGTACTCCGCACCTGGTTGTGAGGATTCCCCCTCAAGCAGCGGTTGTCCTTAACTCAAAAGATCGGGCGCCATATCTCATCTACGTCGAGGTATGCACTTACTTTATTATCTCTATATGATTCATTGTTGATTAATCGCACACTGAATGATTTCAATAACCGCTGTACTCGGCGGACCAATGTAGTATCGTGCATAGCTATAATCCTGTAGGCTAAATAATAACGAGATAATTATAGAAATAGAATAAAGCCAAGCATATATATATATATATATATATATATATATATATATATATATATATATATATTAAATACGTCACCAGTCTCCACTAGTCCTCGTTTTTAGGTCCCTTGTTTATTCTGTACCTCCGAGATTATCTATGCTACCATTCTGGATTGGAATATGGAATGTTTTCAAATATAAAAGATAAGCTATCATATAAATAATGGTTTTATGTGTAGAATTCCTAATTTGCGACGGACTTACTTTAACAGGTTGTGACAGTTGACGACATTGCTACAAGTCCGGTTCCTTCGAAAACAATCCATAATTATTCAATCCGAACCTCGCGCAGCGAAGAAAATCTTGAACGGGATCCCGACAACAGCAACGGGTTAGTTTCGCATTGCAGTGGATATTCCGTCTACATTTAATCTTTTTGATGATTTGTTTCGTGATTAAATATTGCGGCACGTGATTCGACCCCAATGATGAAAAACTAAAAATAACCATTACTAGGGTTTAAATTTTCAAGGTTTTTCATATATTGCGAATGACGCAGTGAGCTGCAAATGTAGGTGGCATCACTGAACTTAATTCTAGCAATCTTGTGCTCTGTTAATGTTATCGATTCGTCAGATCTTCGTCGAATCCACCGTCGGGCTCTCTGTCGTCTTCATCGTCATGCCAACAGCTGCATATACCAGGCAGCAATAGTGGCAGCGGTGGTGGGTCACCTGGACTGGGAGGTCCTTCGAATGGAGGAGGAACACCTGCCAATGGCGTTACAGACGGAGGTGCAAACTCTGGAGCGTCAGGTGACGCCCTCGATGGGCATTGTACGTTTTCGTTTGCCGGCGACGAGTGGTCCGTTGAAGATGATGAAATTTCAGCCCAGTTTGGCACTTCAAGCTCAATGAACCACTACTACAACCATCATGATCGGTATGCTTGACGGGGGACTCACCTAAAATCACTTTGTGCTAGTTGATTATACTCAGATAAGAAACAGAGAAATATCATTGAAGACGTTTCGGCCGCATATCTATTAAACCAAAGGCTAGAACGGTATAACATAAAAGGATCTGGTTAAGTGGCTATTTTTCGACCTGTAGCAATGCTGTAGACGGATGGGGGCCACTAATTCTTTATTTCTTACAAATTTTACCACCAGACTGGGCCGCAGTGTGTAATTAATTATTGGTGGTTTCACTATCGGATTCATTGCGACTATGATGGTTTTTTTTACGATGGCAGGGACACACTCTCAGTAGATTCTGGCGTAGGTTTGTTGACAGTCGGGGCAGGCGACATCCGACGTAGGCTGAGCGAGCAGCAGGGGGGTAAGGGAACGATGGGAGGCCGTCGTCAGATCCTCCAAAGAGACCCTGAAGACCCCTCCGCTGCGGCACTCAAGGAGCCTCTCGATGATAAGGTGCGTCACTCATAGTCTGTGTTTAGGGTGGCAGCATCGATGATTGTTTATCCTAGACAAAAAAGTCACAGACCTAAAGCAATTTTTGTATCTGCTAAATCGTAATAGCAGGACGTGTCTCTCTGATAGAAGATAATTATGCTTGCTTAATTAAAAATGGTGGAAGAGGATACCCCCCACTTGGTTCTCTTCATTTTCATTGATTAAATCGGCTAAGAACAATTTACCTGTTGTTATCTATTTGTTTAAATACAGAGATACTCAAACCCAAATTGTTATGATTAGTTATGATTAGTCTTAACAAAAAAGGTATATCATTGTAATGAAATTACTATTCTTAGATTGAACGTATTCGTGATGGATCTCCGTATGGCGGACTCAACTCATGGAAGTTAATTTCGGCTATCGTGAAATGCGGAGATGATCTACGTCAAGAACTAATGGCCTCCCAGCTGTTGAGCCTTCTGCAGACAATCTGGGACGAGGAAAAGGTAAATTACTTTTTTCATATTTCTCTCCGAAGGCAAAAGGAAATAAAAAAAGAAATGATTTTCTTTTTGAACCTTTGGAAATGAATGGAACTATTCTGCTATAGACGGTAAGTATTTGATACTTTTAATGGAATTCTGCCAGTCACTATGAATTTCCATGATCGGTGTCAGTTAATAATAAAAATCGTATATGGTGACTTACGTTTGTGGATTTAATACTCAGGTGTACTAATCTTTGTTTTAGCTTCCTTTGTGGATTCGACCGTACCGTATATTGGTGACTGGCCATGATTCGGGAATGCTTGAGCCAATCCTCGACACTATGTCCCTGCACCAGGTTTGTAGATTCGCTATTGAATGATCAAGTCAATTTACTGAGCATTTTTCATGTTCTATATAGGTTAGGTTGGCTGATAAAAATTAGGATAACTATAGTGGCATCGCCTTGAAGTTCGTTCACGCACATATTCTATGAACGAGTTGCTAGCGTGCGTGATTTATGACAACATCATTGTAATACAGTAAAACTCATTATAGAATACCCATGTTTTAATGAATCGTTGTGTTCGGTCGGGAAACAAATGCTGTCAATTTGTTGTTAATGTTCTCTTTCCTCGTAAAGCTGCACGGCATATTTGTGTCTGTGAGAGCTGTGAAATTGAAGTGCAGTTCTATGACCATTGACAGACTTACGGTATTTATTCAGGGATTAGGTACTCATACCCTCAGTGGATGTCACAAATATACACGCCATTTCTCTGCCTTTCAGCATCTTATCTGGCACTGCGCAACACAGTAATAGTGACAGAATCCTATATAGACTTGCTTCCGGTGACGAGATGTGGTGTCTCGACGTTAGTATGAAACAAAGAAAAAAAATGGGTAGTTCCAGAATGGCAATATATTCTTAAGCCCAGAGTTGAGTTAGATTTCGAGCCCATGAAGACGACAACTTATATTTGACGAAACTGAAAAAGTTTTGCGTACTGAGAAATGCTTTAAGAAGATAAAAGAGCTGAAAAGGATCTATATATTGTCTAGTTACGTCGAGTAAAAGACCTATCCCACTGAAAAGACCCTATAAGCGAGACGAAATCATCCTTCTCCAACAGAATGATGATAGGCCATACGTGGCACAGACTGTGAAATCTGATTTAGAGGAGCTTAAATAAGAGCTTTTTTGGCACATGCCACATTTTCTATGTGTCTCTCTGGCAAATTATTACCTTCTCCGATGACTGATGAGTGAACGGAATAATCGCACATTTGATAACGAGGAAAGTCTCGAAACCTGGGTGGGCCAGATCTGAAAAGTTCTGGCGGGAGGGAATAAATAAATTAGACGATAGATGGGAGAAAATTAGACGATAGATGGGAGAAGGTCAAAAAAAGTATCGGCGAACGCATAATAAGTTGTTACTATAATTTGAAGCGCTATTCTTTGTTAAGTGAAAAATTTAGATGACCTACGTTTAACTTAATCAAACTTAACTGTCTTTCTATTCTGTTGTTTATTACAGTCAATATTATGTATGCGCATTTTCCTATTAACACAACGTACCATGACTCATTATTGGAAATTCAATGTAACTACCATCGTTGTCAATGGACGCTCAAACTAGTAACAATGGCCTTTATTGATTTTTGATTACAGTTAAAAAAATTACATAACAATTGTTCACTGGTTGCGTACTTTGAGCGGGAGTTTGGCCCACGTACATCTGAGCCATTTCTTACTGCCCAAAAGAACTTTGTAGAGAGCTGTGCAGCCTACTCCATCTTGTCATACCTCATTCAAATTAAAGATCGTCACAACGGTGAGACGTTGTTTTGTTAAGCTAAAATTAATTTTCTGTAATTGATCGGCTGTTAGTCACATACACGTATATATCAGTACATGGCGGCTAGCGAACTTTAAAAACTATCATCTTAAATCTTTTCGAATTCGATCGAACTACAAACGTACCACAATGAAAATAGAACCTTCCTTTTTATTCGTCCTTTACAAATAGGAAATATTTTACTGGATGGAGAGGGCCACGTAATCCACATCGATTTCGGGTTCATCCTATCGGCATCTCCTAAGAATCTTGGCTTTGAGTCATCACCATTCAAACTTACCCAAGAATTCGTACAAGTCATGGGTGGTACTAGAGGCGACATGTTTGAATACTTTAAAGTAAGTGCTGCAAGAATGGAAAAATACAAATCACCTACTAATCGGACATAGAGAAACATGAAAACTCTTGTTGTCGAGAAGGCTACGGAAAAGAGACCTTGACTGAGGACGTGTAACAACCTTGTAACAACCTAAATCAACTATCACTTTACACTTCGTTTTTCTTCTAACTTTGTCTTCTAGATGCTGATGTTAAAAGGCCTCCTTGCTACGAAAAAGCATCAGGAACGGCTGGTATCTGTTGTCGAGACGCTGCAAGCTGATGCTCAACTGCCATGTTTCCAAGGTGGAAAAGGCGCTTCCGCATTACGAGCCTTTAAGGACAGGTATTTTTAAATAGTAACATATTTCAAGGCATATATCATCACTGAGTGCGTATTATGGCTTTGTCTGCAATAATCGTAGTAGAATCAGCCGTTTTATCGCTAACCAAACGTAGCTAATCGATAGCAGCGATTGTTTGTAGTTTTGTAGCTTGTGTTTATTGAATAGGTATGCTACAGAGAGAACTGCTCTGGGTCAAGTCGGCTTTTTGGGCTCAAACAGTGTTAACTGATGTAATTCCGTTACCGTCTGTGTTTTGATATTTAGATTCTTAACTCATTTGACAGAGGAGGAGATAACAGCTAAAGTTGAGACGATGGTGGAATCTTCTCTTCATTCGCTGACAACGCGACTGTACGACGGATTTCAATATTTCACAAATGGCATTCATTAGCCACCATTAGGAAGCCACCTCAGTAACGGGGTAGTCTGGCTGCAAATGTAATAACGAATCGCTTTGTTTACGGCGGAGTCATTTAGGAGCTCCAAAGGTAACCAAGAAAAATCTAAAGCACAACAGGAAATGCATATTGCGCTCGGGGCACAACCGAGAAGACGTTGCGTACTATGAGGTTGCGTTTAAGCCCGAGCTTGATATACCTCGCCGCCCCCCGCTCCCGCCCCCCAGAAATTATTATCAGAAACGAAATTAATACCATTTTTCAGTTGGGGTAGCTATTGACTCATAGCCCAATTTACTCGAGCCACAGTTCCGGTTAACTGAATTTATGTTCATAATTTGGTCAACGAGGTCGACGTTGTACACCTTTTAAGAGAAGTAGGAAATCTTGGAATAAAGTTAGAAGATTTATGACAATTTACGATCACAATGTACTGACTGCCATTAAATGAAAAATCCACAATTGCTTCAATGAACAAAAACACATGAACCTTAAACAGTGTCCAATGTGTACTTTGCTACGGGTTGCATCATTACTATACTACAGTAAACGGAAGCTCACGTGCAAATGACTCCAAAATAGAAGCGACTTCTTATATGACCTGTACAGTGTTGTATGAATATAGAACTATTATACTTTTCCTATCCCAATGAAAGCTATAATTAACTGGACATTCACGCATACAAACAATGCGGATGACAGTGCTCAATGTGAAAAAAAAAAAAGGTTACGATAAATAGCAGTTAAAGAGACGAACGAGTCACAACTCAACATAAGGGCAATAAAAAAAAAAGTTTGCTCTTGAGGAAAATTCTATTTTCTCTCCAGAAAATTCTATTTTCTCTAACTTCCCTATTATTCGAAGGAATTTCATCGTAGAATAATACGTCTTCGTTCCGTCTCGATAAAAGTAGAGACTAGAATATATGCATGACGGATCACCAACCCATGTTGCTTTAAAGCCAAGTCATGTAATAATTTCACACGCTTATATTATTGCGATAGGATTTGTTTACCTGACAGAAACCAAACACAAGCAGTCGAAGGCACGATGGTGCATGTTGTTAACAGTCGTATTATATATACATTATTGTAGCTAATTAATTTTATTTGCAGAAGTATAAAAGTTTGAAGCACCATCATGTAGTTGACGTCTCGTGGTCTCTTTGGATCCTTCATTAGTCGTTTTTATATACTTGACAGTGGTCTCTAACTTGCCTAATTGCTGCGTATCAAAAATCTAGTAACTTTGCCTTTAAGTTTATGTATATGATGTAGTATATGCGACTTGAAGAATATACGCCATAAATGATAAAAAAAAAAAAAAAAACTAAGCATCAGGTAGTTAGTTGATACCAAATAACAAAAAAATCAACTCGCAAGAGACATTCACTTTTGTTCCTTTTGTTAACAATATTATAACAACAACCGTTCTATATTTCGTTGTCTAATGGGATCGTATCGGAATAATTTTTAACAACGAACGGAAAAATATGCGAAAGAAGTATTAGTTTGTGGTAACTGGCGCCATTTAACGTCATCTATTCTCATAATCAGCAGCCGCATTGTATAGTATGGAAATATGGGTGTCTAATGTAATACCAGTAGTTAGTAAATTGGCAGCATTGCGTTAGGTGAAGGATACGATACACAGGCTGGTGTCAACCACGTTCTGTGCGCTTAGAAAATGCAATAGAGACAAAGACAGTAGGGGCAAGCAGGTGACCACCTGTCTACTTTTACGATGTCTAGCCCTGTTTCTAGCGCACTTGCCATTGAGCTGAAAAGTAGGCGATTAAATTCAGGAGCTCCTCGTTCCTTGTCCTCAAGGGCAAAGTACTCCTATTCTTCACCGCTGTGTGTTGGAAAGTCATGAAATGCGCACGCCGGCGTCTCGCCGATGAGCACAGGAGAGGGCAAAAAATGATTTTAGTGAAACCACGAACAGGGATGCTCTATTTCTAATGTTACATCAGTTACGTACGATGTGGTATTATGATGCATGCATTACACAAAACTACACATTCTACACGCAGATGTACGGTCTACGTACAGATGTAGGAGCTTAATGATTTAACTCGTTTGCCTGCCGAGAAATAGCGCGCATCTATCTGTAGCACGTAACCTGATCTTATTATTATTTTGATAATTATTAGGGATAATTATATGTAAAATATTGGGTAATACCTACTGGTGCATATTCGTAAGAATCAGCTAACGAAAATAACTAATACACACAGACACACCGTCGTAGTCATAATAGTTACTGCGGCGCCTGAGCTAAATGCCGGACGCATTTGTTTAGAGAGGACATTTATTCAATGAGTAAGTTCTAAGACGTCTGTGGGATGAAGTCGCTACTCTTACGCATATATTTGTCTTAGAAAAAGAAATATTTCTCTAATGCTCGCCACGACCGTGGAGCGATTACAAGCTTAAAGTTACACTCAAAGCGTAATTGATTTTTGACATTTATATACATTAATTGTATACATATATATGATAATTACTCAACTCTTTTATGCCCACCTGCTGGCATAAAATGAAAATCAAATGAGCTGTTCATAGATATAGGAAGGTCGAGGAACACATCCGTTTTATGTAGTATTCCGAATAATTGAACGCTAAAATGGCGTCAGCAGTATTTGCCATAAGTCATGAATGATTTAAATGTTTAGCTGGACACCGCGCAACACGTGCATATGAGAATCCATACGAAGCCAACTGCTCCGTGCAGAAGACATGGAGTAAACTTGCCAGCGTTTCATTGTCTAGGTAGGCTGATGTGATAATGAGAGCACCCGAAAGCGGATGCGAGGTTCTGAAAATGATTGTGTATGACGTCGTACGTTTGTGTGCTGAGTTTCTGAGTAAAAAGCGGACTACTGAAAGCCACGTCCGTGCATACAATCCATTACTGCAAAAATGGTTTACATCTACAGAAAACTAATGAAGAAAGATACGCACACGTTCTAGTGTTTATGACAAACGCGACTAAACAAAATACACAAAAGTAGGCGACAAAGTACCTATCCGATCCATCTAGGAGCAATGATCGCGTGCTAAACGATATAAACCGATGATAATGGATAGCAGATTTTATTCCTCCCGCTTTGCTATTGGCCGGTTTGGCCAACCATACAGAGCAACTTAGCAATGGCGACGAAGGAAGAATGAAATAATAATCAACCGATAGGTTAATAGGAAACAAACAAAATATATCGTTACTAAGGCATAAAGCAACGGAATGATCGCGCATGTCGAATAGGCCGTGAAGTTAAATAGTCGGAAGACAGATAGTCAGCACAGTTGATACAAGAGATATCGAAGTGAAGGTTCGACGGGGACAGCCGGACTGTTCCAGCTCTAGACTAGACATGATAATAACAAAAATAATCACGTATTTAGGCTGGCCATAGAATGATGACCCTCCATATAAAAAATAAGGCCACGGACTGTAGGTAGATTTTGCATCACTCAATAGCTTATTGTGTCTGCTAGCGGAAACTACACCGTTTCCCGCTTCCTGAAAGATTCACCGAAGAACCCTGTTAACTTCCTTTCTCTCGGGCTATTAAACAATGCATTGTATTAATTAGGTTAATTAACCATGCAATAACATAAGACATTCAATAATCTTCCATTGGCAGCGAATAGTTGAAGGCCACTGAACCAAAGGGCTTTAAAGATCGGCTCAGCAGAAGATATTTAGAAATATTACTGTGCCGTCGCGTCTTAAAACGTACGTTTTGTAATTAAAATTTTTGGCTGTGTTTAGTGCTTGTAAGATGGTAATATGTTGTGAACTCTGACAGGTAGTTTTCCAGTAGCGCTCTAGATAAACGCCTACCGATTATAAATATAAATTTACCGAGAATTCAAACAAGATTATTACTGTGATCAAATGAAGGCACGGATACGATAAATGTCTATTTGAGAGCCCCAATAATGCGCGTATTTCGTGGCTGGCGTTGAAGTGTCGGCTTTCCACACATAATGATTATTATTGTTCTTTGTTCTCTGTCAGTTGTGTCAAGTCGCTAAGCCATAGGTAGGCGGCAATGGTTCAGTACGATATGTATACCCACCAAGATGCGCACACTTGAACGGACAAACTCCAACTATATACGGTGCATACAGTTAAAAGCATTATAGTTGTAAGTGCCGTTGCAAGATAAAATTTCCTCAGTCCATCCATCCATCCATCTGTTCAAATGTAATAGAGTCTAATTCATATATACAGAGTAGCTAAAACCGTACTAATTGGAGGTACCAAATGATAACAATAGCGGCAGCATTCATAAGTTTTGTGACTATAAAGACAAAACGTTACCGCTGACAGATTGTTAAAGTATCTGTATAATCATGTTGTGCGCCAATATTCTCCCACACATGGCTAATTTGTGCTTCAAGACATTCTTGGTTAACTTCCCCACTCCTACATAGCAGAACGCCTGATCAGGTAAAAAATTATTATACGATCTAACCTGGCGTTAGCTTCATATCTAGGGATGAAGCCGTACATTAGGCCCCTTTTCCAAAACCCTACGAAGACTCTGACCTCATAGGACCTGAACTATTTCGTTATCGATCACCGGATGAGGTGAATCAGCAAAAGGGTCATTACCCAAAATCCTAGAAGTAATAATGGTAACAATGAAAATACACTACACGCATTAGCCTTAAGGCCTGATATTTTCAGTTCCATCCCGCGAACTGTTTGAGAACTTATGTAATTATTATTATTATTAAGTAGATAAACCATGGCTTCGCTGATACATGAATTTTAGCAGCAGCTTTGTCAATAAATACATGAAAAACGTAAAAGATTCAAGCTGAAAGCAAATATATATATATATATATATATATATATATATATATCGGCGACTTCCTTGAGCGGGAATACCGGTTTACACGTATTAATTATAACTTATATATCATCAGTTTTTAAGGATTACGAGTTCAGCAGTCTATTTCCGAAGCAACAATTGGAACAGTCGAATGTTTGCTGGTGGTTCTTATCGTAATGGGTTCAGTAATTCTCTTAAATATTGCAAACCTGTACTGCTTTGCAGAGACATTGTGCGTATTGTACAATAATAATACAACGCTCTCATCGAATGTCGTAAGAGAAAATAGGTTATTTTGATTATTAGCGTTTAGTTTTTTTAAACACGATTTTCGAAGCATGAGCATCAACACCAACTATAGTTAATTTTAGTAAAGATTGGTGAAAATTAAGCCATTAACAAACATATGACGAGAATAATAATGATAAAAAAATAAACCATTTCTGTAAATAGCAAAGCTCAGGAGAAGTCTTCATTTTAAAAAAATAGAGAATTTTTTAGGTATGTATGAAAAGCCATTTTTTGCTATATTGGAAAAATGAAAATCTCTGTTACAATAACTGATTACATTAGCAAAATCATTATATCATTGTAATTATGCTTGCATTTTAATTGCTACTATTGGTACTGTATCCTTCGATTCTTTTTTGTTGATCGGGTTAAGGGTCTTATACGAATAAGGACCCGTGGTTTTCTTAGTTTAATCTTGATACTGGGTACAATGTGAAATATTGGTTACGTAAAAGTCGACTTACCACCGTACCGTTTTGAGTGTTGTCATGGTTATAGAATAATAAGCTTGCTTTGAATCTGATATATCTATCAATTAAGAAAACCAACAAATAAAAGTGGTCAAAAATCTGTAGCTGTCAAATCGTGAGTTTATTTCGAAAATTAAGTTTGTTTTTTTGTTTCAGGTCGCTTTATACATGCAATACAAGACGGAACTACATACAAAGCATGATTTCCGGATATATATATTTATAAATGCACGTACGTTAGTGTATACATATATACAAATGATACACGCGAAGCAAATGATGATTCTCTGCCATGGCTAGGCTGATTACAAAAATGTAGCACAATATATATTTTGAGATAAGGCGAAGAGATGAAGAGGAGAGATCACATCACATTTCAAAGAATGATTCTTGAGGTCATGTAACAACGGGAGCAACCGGATTCTAAATTCACAGCATCTTATATTTAAATTTATCGCAAGCCTTTTGTTGGACATTTTATGATTAAAATAGAAGATCCGGGACTATCTGAAGAATTCGTGCAGATAGCTAGCATTGTTTTATCACCTTTCCTAAATTAGGAAACGTTTATGAAGACTCATTTATCACATGAAAGAGCGTATAAAGGTATCCAGTAGACTAAAAATAAAATAGTATTGCTCGAGTAAGCTCACAGTGTATTGCGCTTCACATAATATTTTTCAAGCGGATTCAAACCCAGAAAAGTGATTGGGTAGAAAACTAACCTTTTATGTAAGATAATAAAAGCTATAGCATATAATACTTTACGTGTTTATACTTGTACATGCTCTTCGTAGCGTCATCCAAGCAATAAAACCACCGTATACGTTATTAGAACAAAAAACGCAGAGGTTTCGCTCTCCTTCCTAGAAGTTTTTGGGTTTTCAATGGTATGGATATGAAATTAAGATAAGTTGTTTTACTAATGATCTCGATATAAAGTTTTTCTCAGCTTCATAGGCTGGGCATCTAAATTCACGACTTTGTTTCCTTCTTTGAGTTGCTTCTTGTATTGTATCTAAACAAAAAAAAAAGCTTTTGCATGGGTTAGAAGTATTATCCCTAACAGACTCCATTTAATGTAACGATCATTCACAGCGGTTATATCTTCAATTCAAGACTTAAACGGTACGCTAGTCGTTTTCAAAATGTTCCTTCCTTAGTTCGTAAGTATTTTCTTAATAAATACTATTCATACTGGATACTGGTAGGCGTAAATTTGTTAAAGTGTCAGTCAGACACGCCACGTACGGCGGAATTAAATTTTCGGTTAATAATCAACCAAAAGTTTCAAAAATGCGAGGGCCTAAATCGGCCGACTGATGTAAAAAAAGGTGCAAAAATCAAAAATCAATATTCCCTTCTTTAGAGCCACTATAATTTATAGACAAAATATCAAAGTGTATCAAAGATGGGCCAATTTATTAAATTTTCGAGAATCTTTCAAAATTTCCCCTGATTTTCTTAGAGGTTGAATGAAAACTCTCTATAACATAGACGTCGATTTAGAATAAAAGTTCGTAACTTTGGTATGGTTTGTGCCACCTGAATACACTAAACAATAGTTGATATTCGTAAAACGACACATCAGTTTTCGCCATGTTTTTTTTGTTGTTTTTCTAAAAAGACGTTTTTTTTGGCATGAACAATAGCAAATTGACGCATGCCCGCTAAGGAAAAAGCCGCTAATGTTTAGGCAAACATTCGTTTCACCCCGTAGATTCGTCACAGCTTTCTCCTCGCGAAGTTATTCATTCGCGTTCCTTGCGCTTTCCTTTAATTATTTTCACTTCACATAACATGTTCAACTTTCAAGCGTACATCTATACGAAGGTGCGTTACTTTATGTTGCAACCATAAACTTTCGGTGGCTTCGTTGACAGCATAATAATAGAACGTTGTTACAATCCTAAGGTCTAAATTGAGTCCCCAGTTGCTAATTAGTGAAATTAAAAATACGGTAGTGTGCAGAATCCGTAAAAAGATATGTCTCGTCCTCCATCGTCTTCCTGAAGAGCATGCACAGCGACCCTGAAGTTGCGTGTTTTTGATTAAAAAAAAAAATATTCTCACAAATTTTGTCGTATGACGTTAATAGGGCTTGAAGTAGCGCCTTCTGGTTTTTTCAACCAGAGGTTCAGCCGTTCAATGGTTTCAATTAGAAAAAAAAATAAGCATGAAAATACTCAGATAATATGTCATATTATTACAGAGCACACCAATAGTATATTTCTTAATTATTTCCGTTGATATCTCTATAAAACAACGAAGTACAACTCATCAATTCACTTGAATTGCATTTGTGCGATTAATTGTGCATTGTGAAATCAAATGAAGCCACAGTAGGATTCGAACCGAAACCCAAATCTACCCGTCATGCGTACATAGTGGATTAAAGCACTCGGGATAGCCGCGGATGTCTACGGCTAGTAACATAAGCGCTTCTTCGGCCTTGATTATAAACTTTTGCGGGGCCCAGCCTAATGCTGCTTTAAACCGGTCGCAGGGATGAATTCAACGCCCATTTGTTCGGGCGATTTGCACGGGACGCGCCATCTCACGCGGCTCGCGCACGGAAAACCGAGTCAAGCTACCTTACGAATTCAACATTCTTACAAGACACGCAACGATTTTGAACCACTACTCTGCAATGTCGCCACTGGACACCTTTGCGAAATCTGCGCGCGACTACGAGACGCACTGATGGTATCTGAAGCCGGACTGTCAGCAGGTTCAGTCACTTGAAAGTAAAGCAAGTTTTGAACATTCTTGTGTCCTGTAGTACGCAAGGTGGTTTCAAAGCAAGACATTCCAGCACGAGCGGCACCCGGGCTGCGTAGATACCGGGACGCGTAACAAAGGGTTCGCTGTGTATGCAATGATCCTAACCGAAGTCCTTGGAAGGGTAGATGTCAGAACTGCACAGCAAGTCCTCATCTGAACAAAATCATTGCTAGACTGACAAAATATTAAGTGGAAAAAGCAAGTATAGATCAACGGGTTTTTGTTTTAAACCAGAGGAAACAACGCTGTTACAGACCACACGAAGCCAGGTGAAAATGCGATCGCGCGCTGCTACTTCGCAACACGATGAACAGGTAAACACTCAAAAAACCGCAGCAGATACTAAGCTCTTTATCGGCCTCGATATATATACACAGATAAAGAAAATGGTGGCTCCGTGTGAGGGGAAAGGGTCGAGATGTCTAAGGCTTAGGAGCTGAAAATGTGAATCCTAACATCTGCTTCCAACTGTATTTTTCAACAGCCAAAAGCAATCGGTTACATACAATATAATGGTGCGCACATCTTTAAGAATCGGCGATAATTATCTCAGCGCTCGGAAAAAATATCCGCTTTGAGCACACAGAAGAAACTTCAGAGGAACTGGCTCAGCTTTGAGCACACAGAAGAAACTTACGAGGAACTGGCTCAGAACGGCTTTGACTTGGTCATGTCGAAACATGACTTGGTCATGTCGAAACATATGCAGATAGCGCACGTGGCTTAGGCTTGAAACTCTGGAACCCTTCATAATGTATAAAGTCATGGAACACATCTCCTATATTACTATGGATTACGATTGTCAATTATATGCTACAAAGTGTATTTGTTTTTACCAGTCAGAATAGGCACGTTTTTGAGGTGTACTTTTTACAGTACCCTGCAATTAAAGTAATTCACCTACAAAATTTAGAAGCGCAGTCGCAGGGAACAATTTTTTGAAAACATTGTCCGTTTAAGTTTGTCGTACCTGAAAATACTGGTATCCACTCAAGGGTAATTACAGGAAACTATACATACCTTTTTAAGATTTTCGTTTCCAGATCAACAATGAACTCCGTTATTTCATTTTCCGAAAAATCGACGCTGTAGATTGTGCGGTCGATAAGCGTACATCTACTAAATTCGCAATCCGGAGACATAAGTTGAAGATGTTCCGTTCGAGAATTACTAGGGTTCCATAGTATGATAAGTCGTTTTGTAGTCAATATTAATATTTGGTGGTCTAAAGGAAAAGCGTGTGTAATCGTCTGCAATTACGAAAAGGATCGCAGCTTAGAATAAAACACGATGACTCGCTTTAAAATTGTATTCTACTAAAGAGACCATTTTTTCATACAACATAATGTAAAGTAGTTCACTGTATCATGCAACAATAACATTATGCAAGTAAATGGCTTATAAAGCTTATAACAATCCAACAGCACACGTATGCCGAAACCCAAAACAACGTGATGATGATAATATATGGAATTAAAAAATAAATAAAAAAATATAAAAATATATAATATAAATATAACTAAAAAGTTAAAAATTTACTTGCATCCATTGTAGTTTCGATCTTGAGTACATCACTGGACGATAAATCGAACATTTCGTCGGAGAAGCAATACACAATTGAGGTATCAACGAAATGATAAAAGCAATTATCCAAAAAAACCACAGTTTTGCATGGGGGGCCGGGAATACGGTTCAACGAGTACTTTATGTGGAACCAACGACCGGACGAGGGGTCAAATACTGATATCGTATCCAGTTCAACGCGATACTTTCCATAGCCGTGACACATAATGATTTTCTCATGTCCCACCAATGTCTGGCATGACCGTCGTTCCGTATCCATCCTTTGGACAACCTTTAGAAACAAAGCATTAGTTTGCACAGTTGATTATTCATCGTCTAATTCTACATACTAATATTGTAAAAGAGCCTCAATCAACAACAGAAAGCGGCACCAAGATAACAAAGAGATTTAATGTCTCGATACTGACATCCCAGCTCTTGTGAAGATTGTCGAACCGGTAGACATCCATATTCCAGTTGCCGCATCCGATGCGCCCTTCACCACCCAGTAAATACAGAAACTGGCCAAGGTGAACAATAATACACCCAACCGCGCGCGTCGGCAGGGTCGTTATTCGTTTGAGTTTTGAACTGCAAAGTACAATATAACGTGCCATAAATGTTTAGCGCTTCGTAATCTCTTTGTGAACGAATTTTATATAGAAAAACTGCTTTATTCCAATCAAGTGAAAACGCTCAGAAGAACAGTACTACTCGTCTGAAATCTACTCAATCGAAAGTCCATATATTTTTATGATGGATTTTCTATGACACAACCTTAAAAAATTAACAGAATTCTACCTGCGGCGATCCCAAGCGTATAAAGCGTTATTGTCTGATATAAAGCCAACAGTAACGGCATCTTTTCGGAATCCCTTTCGTGTTGGAGAATCTTCGGTGAGGGAATGCAAGAGTTGCAAGCTCTCGCTTAGAGGCTGCGTCAAATTTTGAAGAAACAGCTCGTCAATAAGAGGAGCGACCTATATAGAAAAAATTATTTGATATAGTACATCCTAATAAAGTATGCCTGAAATAAGGAAAATATGTTTTTATATGCTATGGATACCATGTTATGATTAGCACATGTACTTGAAAACTTGAATCACAGTGTTTGAGCGCACTGATATATAAACCATTAAGTACGAGAAAATCAGTAATTACTTCATCTACTATACGGCCTCGCGTAACTGCTATAATCGCTTTGTAGACGAGATTTTCATCGGCATGAAGAAACTCGTTTTTCACCAGGCACTGGACTAACTCGTAATCACTCGTCGACAATGTTTCCACCAGGCGATCAAAGCACCATGTGGCAAGCTTAATACAGGATTCCTGTTGTAAAAAACATGTCTATGTTATTATGCCTTGACCAAACTGTGCCTATTGTATCTACAACCCTTAGGTAATAGGTTGTTTTTCAATTCCTTCGGAGCCAACAATGATATTTGCCACTTTAATGCAGTCTGTGCAGGTGTAGGACGCCTTATAAGTGTGTTAGCTAAGCAGAGATTTGCATGAGAATTTCGCATAATTAAATTTAAAATGCAGATATAAGTTATTTTTGTTGATTCAGGCAAATGTTTTATTTGCTTTGCATATATCCAGCTTTCTTACTACCTTAAAATCACCTTTCGTCGAACGAGTCGTTAGAGAGCATGTAATACCTTTAAAAACAGACAATTATAAGTATTGGCGATGGTAAATGTTGCCGGAACATCTTGTGATAAGCGTAATTGGTCGAAGAAGTAACGTTCCACTTGTTTTTTCAGGTGCCTAACCTGGAAAATACGAATCAATTTGCTACAGTGACAAACTTAAATTTTCACATTGGTAGTTTCTCATCGGATTCCGTATCTGCTTTTTGAAATTTCCCTATAATCAGTTAGCCTACAAAAGAGATTCAAGCTATGAAAACATTGCAGTTAATATCCACTTCCAAAGTAGAGCCTCATAATATTCAATTTAGACATTATATTGCTCTAAAATGATCATATCCACAATATGCCAGAACTTCGTTTAGTTCATTTGTTTTAGCAGATTTATTTTTGTACTTGTTAATGCATATCGTCTACATTAATATTAAGGCAAAGTAACACAGTATTGCTTTTTTTGCGCCATTACTTCGCAACCGAATATTGTACTTCCGCACAGGTTAAGTATCTATAAAGATACTGATAAGGACTGTCTTCGTCATTTTTACCACTTACTTGCTACGCTAAGATGATCGAATTCTCTTACCTGTAGCAGGTCGCTCGCGGCTAAAAGTCTGATTGCGTTTTGCTTAGAGATGCTTACCAATGATTTTTCACAAAAGTCGATCACCTATTAAAAAAAATCATAGGTATATAAATAATATTTTCATTGAATCATACCTTTCGTGTAGTACATGTCATGCTATTATATTGCTGATATTTTAATATTATTCATATTTATAAAAGGTGTTCCCAACCCGTGTGCGCACTGTTTAACGAATCATAACTATTTTTTTTTATCATACTTTTGAATCATTTGAATAGGACACCATTATTCTGAAATGCTATTAAATTTATGAAAATGATAATGTAGATGTAAACGCACATGTTTCCCAGAAATACAGCTAAACACAATTAAACCGATTCATTATACGATATAATTTGGATACAGCGTCAGGGCTTCAAAAAACCTTATTTTTCCAAGCATTTTTCAAAATTGTTTTCGATCCGTATTATATTTATTAATATAATACGGATCTTAGGATGCGATGACCACTTGACCGTTTTGCAGATTTTTGGGATGTTGTCATAATAACTTTTTAGGACTATTTTTGTCTGTTAAGGTCCGCTGATGCTCTTGGTTTTTCGACACATCATTTATGAACGCCCTAAACGCTTCCATCCGTCTTGAAGTCATCTTTCATTCAATTTCCTTTAAGTCAAGTAGAGGGATATGCTTACCTGCCTTATACCTTATAAATTACCTACGATATTATAAATTTATTACATTTTATATTTTCATAAATATAATAGCACTTCAGGATATTTTCTTATTCAAAAATATGACAAGTATATGATTCAAAAGCACCCAGAAACAATATATAAATTTCCCAAGAGTTACAGTATGGTACGATACTTCAAGCAAAAGGTTAAACGAACCATTAACTTTTCTGATGCCTGGTGATGAATGACTAGTGCCAATTACTTGAATTTAGTGCAAGGCTTTGTTGATGTATCCGGATGGAATTTAGTAAAAATGGCTTATTTACTCTCAGAATAGGACGAAACACCTGAGCTGATGACATCATCAGCTACAAACAAATTAATCTCTTATACCGAACCGAAAGAACGAGGTTTTACAGATAGGACATCAATGGATTTTGTGAGTACGCTTTAGTACGAAACCTACGCCAAAAGTACCGAAAACACTGGAAAGTTTTAAAACCAAAATTAAGCAAAAATGCGCCACAGAATGAAGCTAAATATTCAATTCACTCAGAGTCCAGCGTTATCAGCAGTTTATTGACCAGAACGGTATTAATTTGAAATACCTACGGTAGGTAGTTATGCATTTTAAATAGTAATTATTTATGGTTTTAATCGAACGATAATTATATTGAATAAATGTAACCGTTAGACAGCACGTACGAAAAATTTAGACAGCTTTAGAGATACTCGTAATAAAAAGTCATGATTTACAAAGAAATATTACGATATCGGTATTTGTCATCTAAAAATGATAAAATTCAAAACTTTATACAGATGTTCTAAGAATCATTTATCCCAATTAATTTTTCCTAATTTTTATTATTAGTCAATTTTCGACATCCTATTGTTAAAATTAGATGTAGAATTTAATGCGCATATATATACAATATACGTCAATAACACAAAATGCTGTCAAATCTTAGTGTTTTCTATATGTTGCTATTAAGAACCGCTGCGATCATAATTCTATAGTTTTTCGTGTTAGAGGCTTTATGGTTACCAAAAAAGTCGATTGCCTTATTATCTAAGGCAGTCGACTTACTAAAAAAGAAGCCTCTTTTTAGTAATTGATTCGGTAGAATACGCTTGTGCATCACTTCTGCAATGTGAACATGTTACGCACTAAAAAATTAGCGGTAAAAAGAAAAACGTACGTATTTATGCGTTGTCGTTAACTTTTTCACACTAACCTCTTGCACCGTCTCTGGATCAATGTCATGTAATTCCACGTGATCCTGGGAACTCTCTCGCCAACAAGTTGATGCAAACATTATAGCGAAAAAGTCCGATGCGTTTTGGAGACATTGCCGATTGGTACGAAACCTTTGACTCAATACGCAGATTGTAAAATCTTTTTCCATTTGCATAAGAACTTACGAATTAATTAGCCACTCTATTCGTGAAAAGTTCGATCACAAGTTTCGGGGTGTTTACATACAATTTTTTGGCACATCAAACCACCGGCAAGGTGCTAGACGTTAGGCGGGATCTCTACAATAATGCTATTGCTTGATAATTGGCACCAATTCGCTAAATACTTCAAACATGACTCCCTTTCGACATTTCGGACGAACATCTTAAAGAGCAAATGCTTAGCTTGGATTAAAAATAAACATCTTTATGATACAGGCCATTATTTCTACAAAATGCCTTGCATTATCCCAGTAACGCCCGAACAGAAAAAACTGTAATATATGAAGAAAATAATACAACCTAGCACAAAAAGCTCGAGCGCGCTATATCAAGTATCGTCCGACTTTCCCCAGCTTTGCACAATTGATGAATGGCCATAGGAGTGCTGTTGTCTGCTAAGACATCTCACGGGAGCGAATTCAAAAAAATGCTGCGCGCGAAGATCACATGTCAACTAACGGCTCCGAGCAGCTAGAATGAAAAAGCTCTCGATTCTTACTTCAAATAATCGACACCTCTAAATAAATGGTAACTGTTTTCAAGTCGTAAATCAAAAAAAAAAGTTGGTATCATGTTATCTTATTAAACCGAAAGATAATCTTTGTCTTTATTTTGCAACTACTATTCGAAGCTTATGGCATTTACTGTTATTTTAGTATTGGCGTTATCATTGCTACAGGACGTATTTCGTAGGAATTAAGCTGTTTATCAGTGATTTTACACACTTACCCGCCTTTATACACCCATAGGCAGCTGATCCGCTGCAGCTGTTTAAATACGTTCTAACATTGCGTTTTTCATTCGACCATATGTTGTCTGCAATCAGAAACCAAACGGCCTCGCGACACCAGGTTGTCTATCCTACAGCTTCCTGGAAACGAAGGACCGGTGTTTACAGTGACCGCAATCTTTACGCCAGGCGCTTGGTCCAGTTCCGCAGCAACAAAAACCTATTTCGCAAAGGTCAATTCGGGTCTTGGTGTCCAACCTCGCTCGTTAGGGTTTCATATGACGATCGCCTTTTCAAGGCGTTGCGGTAGAAGATGATTATTGGCCCAGACAGCTGTATTACCCACCAACATTCATGAATGTTCCTTGGATCTAACGTGGTAGACAATTGTCCTGAGCTTGTTACTTGCCACCAAATAGTGGCCTCTTTGCTTATTTAATCCAACCAACATTTTGCAAATCCAACCAACATTTCGATAAATACACCGATTTTTGTTCCTTGCAAATGAGATCACCTCGTCGTCCCCCACCTCTGTCCCACTAATCACATTACTCCGCGTTTCAGAATAACTTCGAGCTAACGGTTTCGGCCCTCGGAAGGATACGCAAGTATTTAATTAATCCCGTAATTAGTATTACGATTTTAAATATAGCACAGCTAATTGTAGTTTGATAGATTAACAGATACCATCATTTTGTCGTAAACGAACTAGTCCTCCCACCAGCGGCAATTATTAGCCGACCTAGAGCAAAACTTAGTGGTCGAAAAGACTTGAAGAACTCATGCATGCTTCAGTATGATACTTGGTAAGATATGTAAGAAATGTATTTATAGCCGATAACAGAAAACAACTATAAAATAATTTCCCTATTTTAAACGAAATTATGGATTATCGAAAGAAATAAATAAATACTTTTCTTTTCCACTTTGAGGGTGTTCACACTATCCTAAATGTTAATAGGATATCCGCTATGAATACTTCAAGCAGTGGTTAGTCTCGTCTCATGTTTTGTGCTGCGCGTTTTCTTCTGCACGTTTATTGGTTTTTAAACTTTGAATTACTGTCGAACAATGATATAACGTTACTTATTACAGTAGTATTTTAATGTGGTGCATAAAAGCATTTGATAACATTTCAGCATCATATATATATATATAAGTCTACAGACATATCTATTAGCTTGTTCGAAACTTGAAGATTCAACTAATATTTGTTAGTAACAATCGGTTTTCCTTCTCTTTTCGACTGAAATGAGCTGATTTGATTTTGGCAAGTCAATACAAATCTGATGCTGCAGTCGTGTAAGAAGTCGGCGACATCTGTTTTAACGAGTGCGACGGCTCTGATGTAATACCCTTCAGAGTGGCTGAATTCGTTTTTATTTGTAGAAAATGATATTTTCTATCGCTTTGTACATGTATCGTATATGTTTGTCTTCTCTTTATTAGAGCCGCGTATAGTTCAGACATATTCATATTCCCATAAAAGTTTTAAACAAGCAATAACGTTGTTTGATAGAAATTACCTGATGACTTCAGATCAAAATATTAGTAATAAATATTTAACTGGTAGTTGAAGAATCAGCTGATTATTATGTTAGATATATTTTTTTTACGCCGGTACAGTATTTCTATAAGAACAATACAAGTAGCCATTCAGTAAATCATTAATTATGAATAGGTAAATGATAACAACAGGTGCTACTTAAACAGATATTTTTCTCTTTTGGCTCTTTTAGCATCGATTTCCTTAGCCAGCTCATCCAGATCGTGGTTGAGAGTACGGGCTACGCTTTGGCTTGCTCGTGCGAACCAGTCATATGCCCAAGCTAACATTAAAAATGCCTCAAGTTGTAGGCGTCGCAAAGAGTACAAGACCAACGACAAAAAACTGTCATAGGTGCAATAAAAGATCTTCGTAATAAATGAGCTCGATCCCCTGTAAGACAACAAGGATAATTCAAACGATGAAACAAAAAAGTCATTAAAAACGTTATCATTAGCACGTTCGACCGATTCGCTTATAATTCCTATAGGTATTACTTGGTTAATCATTAATATTAGACGTCGGCTAAACCTAGAACTCGATGAAGCTTTATTTATAAGTTAGCTCTGTTTACTTAAACAAGAAAATACCACATAAAGCTTTGAAGCTGGAAATTTTATGAAATTATATATCGCAGCTTTTAGTCTCACTTTTGGACATATAGAATTAACCGCAAAAACATACACTACCATTAAAGCTCTGTTTATGCTTGTTACCTATGGGTGGCTATACCGCGCCAAACGTTCTGCACGAGGACCTTATCAGAGATTCGGGCCATAACGGCAAATCGATCAACAGGGTGACCGTGACCTTTAGCTATTGAGCGGACCGTGTTAATGTTGCGAAACACGAGAAGCATCGGCCTGGGAAGTGCTTTAAGGCAACACATTATCTCATCGAACCTAAACGAACATTAAAAAAAACACCATATATTTTTAAGATATGAGTGTTACTTGAATTTATCATTACATCGATAAGACGATAAGAGAAGTACTTTCAGAAAAAAATAAGGTGAAAGAGTCATTATTTTAAATTCAAAAATTATTTAAAATTAATTTAAGTTTTTGTGCATGAAGGATTCTTGTTTTAAGTAGCCGACCAGCTACATCTAAATCATCTCATAGCTGTATATTTTAGTACTGTCCATTTTAAAACTATGGGAAGCAATTCGCTGACAACCGACTAGATCTTTCATTAAACAAGTAGCTCTTTGAATAGGTTAAGTTCGAATGGATGCGTTTTTTCTAAACCACAGTTTAGTGGCGTTGCTATATAAGAATCATTTTGGCATTTTATGTTTATACTCATAGATTTATTCAAATACCTTGTGGAACTCAAAGAGTATGTAAACGACTATCTTATTTTTAATATCTTTTTAGTAATCAAGTAAATAAACAAATTCTCAAAGGATTTCTTGTGGGAAGTCGGAAAATTAAGATGTTCAGAATCTTTCTGGAGCAACTCGAAAATTTGTTATTCTCGAACTTGCTAAATGTCAATAAAGATCAACAATAAGTAGAAAAGAATAAAAACAAAAATCATGCTCTCATAACATAAGCTATATTCGTAGTTTTCCAAACCGTCCTACTCTTTTTTTATTTACGTCAATATAGGATGTTAGTGTACCTTCTTGAGGCCATGTCCTTCATGTATTCCATTTCTGCTTTACTCAGACCTTTCGCTAAAGGAACTCCACTTCTTTGGCGGAAGAGCAGGGGACGCTGCACCAAAATTTCACAGAAGACCCGATAGTGATCTAGCGCAACTCCAAGGGCTTTCGAATTCAACTGCATACCTGTTAGGCATACGTTCAAAGTTTTAACATCGTTCTCTTTGTACATACATTGTATGATATAGATAAGAGCCCCAAAATTCATCAAGCTAAGTCTTATTTTAATGTAACTCATCGTACACCAGATACACACGTTTGCATCCGTATAGTAAAATAGCGAATAATGCTTGAAAATTTTGTAACGAAGAAAGAACCAAGTAGGCTTATACATAGGAAACCTCTCGCATGAATAATGCTAATACCCTTATCATCGTTGTAGACAATAGACCTCCAGAGTGAACAAAGCTTGATTCTATCATCATCTGAGAGCGTCTCATACAGCCCGTGATCGAGTAGAATAAGTTGCGGATCTCGGGGATTTCGAGGATTCGGAGACACTAAAACATTGCCTGAAGTTCGTTAACGCATTGAATAAGAAATATATTTTGTCGTTTATTATTTTATCGTTTCCCTTAGGAAGTCAATTACATTTTCATGTTCTCAGTCTACGAACGAAAAATAAATATATACGTTTCGCGCTACCCCACCAAGTAAAACACTATAATGTCCACGTTGAGGTACTTTGTGTGCAGATGATAGCGATCAATTAATATCATACCCTTTACGCTACACTACACTGTTGACATAAAAAGCGCTTAAGAGTGTCAGGTAAATTTAGTCCTTATCAGTAATAATATAATCATCAATGTTAAAGACACTCAAGTGTATCGGTAACACGATGTTATGAAACGCAATCTTGTTCCTGTCTGGTTTTCGCGTTGGTGTCCTCGTGATATCTTAGGGGTAACGTGCTCGGCTACCAATCTTAAAACACGTTGCAAATCCAGGCATAGGCACACTTGACAAACTACTGAACAACGATACCACATATAAAATACGAAACATAAGGAATTCTCGTATTGGTGCATTCATTTCAGCGCATATATATAAATAAATATATATACAGACAGCAGACACTCAGAGTAATTGTAATTGGTCAACATGGTGACTGGACGTTCCCTTAATTATTTTTATGCACAAACAATACAGTGAGGTGTAAATTCTCGTCCATATAAATATGTTTAACTGACTATGTTCTATACAGAACGAAAAGATAATAAACTTTTCGATAAGTCTTAAAGTTTTTGAGGTACAAACCTGGGTGAGGGTCTGCATGAAAGAATCCATGCAAAAAGACCTGCTGTGAGAAGGCGGTAATAAGTTTGTAATCTATGTCACAAAGTGAGTAACCCATTTTCAATAGGTCAGACTTTTGGTTAATCTTGATGCCGTCAATCCATTCCATCGTCAATACACGTTTCGACGTTAGTGAGTCGATTACCTGTACCAAAACACAACGGTCTTTAAAAAAAATTATGTACTTGTTTATGACATGTGTTATAGTTTAAGTCTAATGATTATTCAGTCTCTGTGCAGAGCTGTTCATTACACGATTGCAATATGATGCAGTCAGTGGAGATGTTAAGAGACGTTTAGAGTTTAAAACCATGAGAAAAACTAAAGTTGCGCTGAATAATATCAACTTCCAGCTTTCAATGTTGCTCTTATCGAATTCTTAAAAAAGAAATCTAAAATACCTTTGGTATGCGAACATATTTTAGATTTAGAAGCTGAGTGGCGCATTTCTTCATATTGTTTGCCTCAAGTTCAAAATCAAGCTCCTTAACCAGGGAATCCTTAAGGTAGTCAAGGATCCACCGGAAATCGTAATCGGGATGCATCCAGCCAACTAAACTTACTAGAACGCCTAATGCCCATACATCACCCTGGAATCTGGTATTCACATGAGCGAGAAGTTAATAGATAGACATTTTAGCTTTTCTTGTTCGACTACACCGATAGTGGACATTAAGTGACTCTAAAGTTTCATTTATAACTTTTCATATACAAAGCGCAGACTACGCGCGTACAGGTGATGAGAAGTACAGTGAAGCAACGAGTTAAAGCTGAGCTGCGGTCCACCAAATAAATACACACGCTTGTATTCCTTTGCCTTTCTTGAACAAATGTGCACATTAACTATATCTGCCTTTGCTGTAAATCGTTGTATTGTATTTTCACGGCCACTTCCTCGCCCTGTTTCGTCTTTGCTCGAAACACCTGTGCCAGACTCGCTGCGGCTACGCATTGCGGCTCGAATGAAGCAAATAATTCCTCTGGACGCCTACCGAAATCTTCGACAACCACCTGTTCCACCTGCAATCATCGAATAGGGTCGTTTTGAGCCAGTTGTAATCTCGTCGTATAGGATAGGGAGCTGTAGCGAAAAAATAAAGCTCACTCGTCAAACTAACAAACGAAGAGTATCAATAATTTCATGGGTCACAAAAAATTCATGATATATTATAGTATAGTTATATTGGTGTTTGTATTTTCATTCTTAAAATCTGTCAAAATATCCAACGATATTTTCAAAGCGTCGAACTCAGGAAGAGAATTTGGAAGAGATATGTGGACTTCATTTCAGTAAAGCTCCATATTTACTTTACAAACCTCTTTTTGAGGCAGATGCCGCAGAGCACGATCATGTAGGACCTATGAACCAACGCCGCAATAGCATTACCAATGTGAGTGAGTATTATAGAGAAATAAATGCATAACCAAACACGCCAACTTCTTCGATTAGCCATTTCGGCAATGGTATCCGGAAGAAAAACTAACCATAAGAATATATAGACACATGTAGGTCGTTGTCTCAAAATGAAGATACCTCGAGCGTATCCAAATATTCTTCAGGTAAAATATGGTTCATGGCCACGAGGCCTTGCCCGAGTTTGACATAAACTCCTCCATTTCGAAGGCAGCCAGAAAGGATACGACTTGCACACCTCAAGTGGCATTCTGAGAGTTTGTTGTCAGGATTTCTGTTTTAGAAAAAGAAATACAACGCGACTTTTGATAGCGGAATCGCCAGCGTAAAATTATGAAAGCCTTTCATGCACGTATTTTTTACCGTAACGGATAACGTCGGATAGGTTCAGTTGTACTAAACATGTGGAGCACGAAATATATTCGTGTATTGTGATCAAACAAAACATCTAAAAATTAAATCGTAGGTTAGGTCTTACAATCGTAGGTTAGCCATTAGTACTAATGGACACAGGAATAACTTATTTTACCTCTTTACCTCATAGATAACCAGTAGTCAATGGAAATTGTTGTCCCAATACTGATTGTTCGAACAAACCTGTGGAAAAAAGATGGCCAGAGAGAATATATATATCTGTATATTATATATGATTTCCATTATGGAAGAAATACAATCTTATTATACATATGCACCTGTTTCTATATCAGTTTGCCCGAAATAGTCCTACGCAAAAGGTTGACAAACGAATAGCATGCGCCATACAAACATGAACCGTAGAATAGTATTGTTTTTTAATTAAATTGTATTCATAGGCGTTTGCTAACCTGGAAATTAATGGAAGAGTTAAAAAAAACCATAATATTCGTTTTCTTTTGAGTACTAAATGTTTCGAATTTGACGGCCGTTAAGTACTCCATCAGAAGATTTTTTGAATATTATATTACCCTGAATAGGCCATACTTAGCTTTACGTTATATACCTCTCCAATCCTCGTGCGGATATTTGCACTTGTCTTCGTGCTGAAGGCTCAAGCGCTAACCAGCATCCAGTTCCTAGGCTAGCCCCGGCAAGTAATACGGCCCATTTAGTGGTTCTCGGGCTTCGAATCCTCATTTTCATCTACGATCAAACTTGACACTCAGAAAAAACTCTCTTTTTTATAGAGGCAAAATAGCATACAGTTTTCACTCGTTCTGAGGTAAGTTGTGAAGGCATGGCTTGCCATTCACCTTCGCAGATCCTCTGCCTTTGCTGATTATATTGCAAAGCAATTACAAAAATGGTGAAAACCTTCTCTCCTGCTTTTAAAGGACTTTACAGTGTCCGAAAACTAACTGGCTGCTATTGAAAACATCACGGTTTAATAAACTTGCAAACAACAGAGCACATACAATACTGCCCCTAATTATACATTAATATATTGACAAGGACTTAAAAAAACTGCCAATGCAATGTCAAATTTCCTGTCCTTAAATCGTGCCTTTACAAATCGCGTATCAATATATTGAGATCTTTACTAAAGAATCGCATATTTACTTATTAATCACTTGCAACCGATGAAATTATTATAAAACGATTTTTTATATATTCATATGAACTCTATTATAACGAAGAGTCATTTTTTCTGAATGCATAAGCACGGACACGCATCTGTCTGGGCCATAGTTGTTTATTTACATGGCAAGCACGAAACATATCTTCGACATGCTCGCATATTTGCATATAAACGACTCACGGCTCATGCTAGTGTCAATAAAAATAGTAACAACATTCAAAATCACTTTCAGCTATATGTAAATCAGAATGCGCCTTATCGCTAGAGAAGTACAAAACTTTAAAATTCAATCGGTGATTTCGTAAATTGGCTTTTTTCATCTAATTTGACTGGATGAATAGATTTGGTTAGATGTACTAATATAAATAACTATCAAAGCATTGTTATTCAACCATGTTACTATATTATGTTGAACAACGGATATGGTATTCACGGTGCGGTTTATGACGCCATCATAGGTTAGTTTTTAGAGCGAAAGTAGGATATTTACTGAACAATTCAAAAAAGAAAAAACACGAAAATGTTTTAGACAGGAACATTTTCTTTATAATTACCAAGAATTCTCGAAATGATCCTTTTGGTCACTTTCGATGTCTCAGCACAAATTCGAATATTTTTTGGAAAATCACATCGAGTTGGCGGTCAATAGTCAGTCACGTTACAAATTTTAGCAACACAACACGGTCACCAACAAACAGCTGATGACTCGAGCGCGGATCTCTATGAGCTACTGCCTAAGAGCAAGCCCTAATGGAGAGGGTTCGCCACCAGCAGATGCCGTTGACAGAAGGAAAGATCACTTCTTCCGAGATTTAGGAGACGCCGTCAACCTAATCTACGAGAATGTTCTTCACTTAACACGCTTTAAAGTTGAAAATTAACGTGTTCGTTTGTGAAAAAAAATTAACGCGCTTCAGACTGGGGAAGACATTTTGCGAAAAACGTCAATAAATATAACTTTACTTTCAAAGTCTGGCAGGATACGTGGTATGCTTTTAATTTAAAGTAAGTTCAGTTTAAAATGGTCAATAAAATGTATACGGTTAACCGCATGAAGCTAAAAAGATGTTCAAGTCATTATTATTTGTTCTCTTTCTATTGTCATAAAAAATAAACCCTGCAAAGTCTTCTTTGAGGAGTGTTTATTAAAATGTGCAGAGTTACAATGTATAGTCGTAAAGCTTCATTTAAGAAACAATCTGTGTATAAATACAGTCAATTTTGTAATGTTCATTATAAATAGTTAATAAGTAAGGAATAGAAAGGGTCAACACTTCATTATAACCTCGACTCCATTTAAGTTTTATGCCATGACGTTCACATTAAATATACAAATGTTACTGGGTGCAGAATTCACTTTTGATGGAGCTCAATCATTTTTTAATAAATAACTTTTTCAATCCTCCAATTAACGAAATTATTCTTTTCGCATTCTTATTTCCTCTAAAAATAAATTCATATATTCAACATAATTTCCAATTGAACCTATTGTCAAGTATTTGCCAATATCGCACTCCACCGAATATCCTTTTCACTAAGGATTCTAAGAGCTTAAATAAGATATATGCGGAATCCTCAGCGGATCATCAAACTTCAGTTAGTTTTTACGTCATTGCGCATAGATGCCATAACGTATTCTGTCATCGGTCATCTACGAAGCATTATGACACAACAATGACACCGTGAACGTCTTCGATCCGCCAAAAATGAAGCCACTTTAGTTGGTTTGCATAATATTTACGTTGCTATCCACATGCGCATACAAAAATCAATTGATTTAGTGTTTAATCTAAATCAGACTTGGGCACATATCCGGTTTTTTCCTATCATTCTGTACGTCGGTAAGTGTTGACTGTTTAACGCGGATATGAATTACACAATTATGGAGTGATAAGTCACACGTTGAAGAGGATATCAGAAGTTGAAACGTTACAGCTATAGGGCAACAATGGAGCTTGGCTACTTCAAGCAAATGCCATTAGTAGCAGATGCCTCTAGTCATTCAAAATATACAATGTGAACAAGAGAGAAAGCTCATCCGACAGTAGAATTTGTGTACATTACGGAGGAAAATTCGCCAGTACATTGGTTTTGCAAAAATTTAAATGTGAGTCCAATATTTGGCTGATTTTAGGCAATCCTGTATGAGCCTACTGTTACTATATCTTTTGGTAAGACTCCTTGTTAGTGTTGAAAGATTTGCTGATAATAGCAAAGCTTAATAGTTTTAATTTTCTCTTTTTAATTTAATTTAGCTCTTTACTTTAAGGCAAGGCCTTTTTACGAAACTCACAGTGCTATAATAATATTAATAATTGCCATCGATATTGTGTGTATGGATGGAAATTCGTCGCAAAAATTGACTTATTTACAAGTTCCCATTTTTATCAAGGTACGCCCTTAAAACAGTTCCGATACTCTTCCACATTATACCTTATCGACTTCTTGTGTTCGAAATGAGCTACATTTATGATGTGAGTGCCTCAGGGGATCATTTAAAGGAGTATACACCACATCTCTCTAGGGCAAATTACATTTGCACAAACAACCGAATCTAGAAATGGCAGACGACCAGAATTCATTTAGTTATTGACTGGCAGATTGCTTTTACTATAGTTCCTTATTACATTATATGCTACACTTGAGTTGACTAATAGTCAAGGTTTATTCAACCTAGGTTTTAGGCATAGCATAATAAAACTTGCATCGTTTTTTTTCAACATATTAAACAATCTCATGACGTTGCCAAGAAGGCTGATTGCTTTGAAAATCGCTATTACAATCGATTAACTGCTGGATCACTGGTTGGCCTAGCTCAACCAGTTAACAGTAAAATCACCCCAGCTAGAACCACCTTTCGGGATCATGATTTTAGGAAGGCGGCCGAATTGCCAAAAGAAGCTTTCAGATCATAATACATCCGATGCATGGATGGTTCTCCGGTCGTTGTCATATATGCTCAAGTCTTATATATCTACAGAGCTAGCGCAGTAGGCGGCCGCTGCTGCAATAGCTATCGTAGAAGCGACTAGAACTAAATGCACCAAACATTAGCGTGCTAACTCGAAAAACAAACCGCCAATCACCCCATGCACCTTTAAGTAACAGCGGAAAAACCGATCGACAGACAAACGGACGGACGGACGTACACACGACTTATCACCCGCGCGGACGTGCGCGCACTGCCTCACAGGTTTCAATACAACCCCAGTGATATAGGAGCTATAACTGGCCAGGTGTGTCGAGAGCTCATACTATTACTCGCGGTTCTTCCCACTTTCTTTTGCTTCTTGTAGTAGTAGAACGCTCTCTGTGCAGAACAGTAGTGTGGCTCGCTTGTGTGTGCATACGTACGTATATATGGACGGGTGGACGTGCATATCTGTCTGCGTGTATGCATCGGGTATTGTGCGCCATCACTGTATTCATTTGCCCGCCCGCCTGTTACGCCACCGCGCTATTTTATACTGGTCTACGAGTATCTGTGGATTTTTCGCTGCTGATTGAGGCCGTAATACTGTTTCCGTCTAGAACCTATACATACGGGGTCTGTGTCCGTCCGCTCGCCCGTTGCAGCGACACAGTGGGCATCGTTGCTGCTACATAGTGTCCGATGCGGGCATTGTTTCGCTCGTTCATTCGCTAGATCAATTTAGCCTCTTGCCGGTCGCCAGCCGACTGCCTGTTGTTTACCAAAGTGCCGCCTGTGGCCAGGCCGCCCGTAGACGTATCGTCTGTCGACGCAGTTGTTGTTGTTCCAACCACGCCTGTCTGCTACTGCATTTTTGTCTGCGACCGCTCTCACCATCGGCTGCTCGGGCTAAAGTTAAAGTTGGCCGTTAGCTGTGCTGGTGGTGTTCGCAGTGGGGAGGTGCATTTTCGCCTTGCTCTTTCCGGTTATTGTTGGACTCTCGAGGTGGATATGCTGCTGCGTATAGTAGTAGCAGCAGCATTGGCCCGTCAGTGGTGCAGACGGTGCTGCTGTCGGTGATCAGCCCCGTCCGTCCGTCCGTCCGTCCATCGGCTCGCACGCCCTTTCGTTTGTCAGCCGCTAGCGCACCACCGTCGCATTCTCCTAGTTAACTGGCTAGTTGATTTGTGGGTCGGCCGGTGGGTCGGGGTCTGTGTTGTGCCGCGGCGATGGTTGTCGTCGTTGGTGTGGCGTCATCATCAACCATCGCTGTACCGAGCAGTAGTTATTGTAGCAATTCTGGTAGTACTGGTGATAATATCTAAAGGTGGGAGCGGGTGTGCGTGTAAGCGAGCACCAGCAGTAGAGAAGCGCCTGCAAGGCGCTCAGGACCAAAAGCGGGGCGGCTGCTACGTCCGTTTCTGAAGCAATCAACGACGACGACGACAACGTCGGGCGCTGCTGAGACCGCACGAGAACGAAGCCAAGAGAAGTCAATTCAAGACCCGCAGCGAGGACCGAGCTGACTCAAGTGGAGTTCACTTTTGGTTGCGCATAATGGACAGACGGAACTAGCCCATTTTACGGGACTGTGGTGCGACCTATGGTTTAGCGTACCCCCTGCGTGTGGTTTCCCAGAACGGCTACACTAAGCACAGAGCTCCGGAGTGCTATCATACAAGATCGTTCACAGGGTCGGAGTCAAACGGAGGTGACGAAAAGACACAAAGGAAAGAGGGTGGCGTTTTCTTGCAACAAGCAACTGTGGTTGGGCTGTCACTTGAAACAGCCCCACAAGCGTACGTCAAGTTTGCTGTCTACGTTGATCGAAGGGAGCTTTGTGCAAATCAACCGCGAGACAGCGGCCTAGAACCCAAAAATAAGAACCCAGTGCCATATAGTGCCAACGTGAGTGAACGGGACGTCCTACTTGTTTGGCAGTCCTTCATACATCATTCGGTAGACGAAAAAGAACAGCGACTGCGCGTGTGGGTGTATGTGGCTGTTTGCTCACTGTGTGCTGTTCCGTGGTCATAAACGGATAGCGTAATAGTGATTGACCATTGCGAGTTGTAGTAGCATTGATAGTTGTGGCTGCAGTATTCAATATTGGCACCGATATTCGAGGAGCTTGTGGGTGCGCGTTCCAGTGTCCTCCAGCTGATATAAAGCGACAGCTATTGTAACGGCTTGTATGAGTGAACGAACAAGTTAAGTAGGCTGACCGTAGTGTGACACTGCTGCGCACTGTACTCAGCAATCTTCTAGGCTCAGAAGAGTTCAGACTTAGGCGCAGGTGACTCTCTAAGCTAATGAAAGGCAGCAGTTAGGTGTGGCGGTGTTATGGTGAAAGCTGGAGCCGCCCGTGCGGCCAGGATGCCGCAGAGCTAGTCTTGCGTTTCGCGGCAGAAGAGGAGCGCTGACCTAGCACGGGTCAGCGGCGGAACCAACTGTAATCAGGCGTCGGAGCCGCATCTGTACGAACCAATACGATTTAAAACGTCAAGCACCGATTACTACGGCATCGTCGTGAGCAGCAAAAACGAGCTCGCAGCAGAGTAAAGATTAATAGGTAAGCTGCTTCAGACTGTGAATATTATAAAAGCGTATTTGACTGCTGAACATTTCGCTATGACAGGAATGCGTAGTAAGAGAAATTCGTCACGCGAATACCACTATGAAAGATTTGTTTAAGTGAGGTGATGTGAATGGTTCGTGTATGACCTGTAGTATTAGAACCTCACTCCATTCGTCTCTTAGCCCTTTTTTATTTGTGTGTCTCGGATTCTTATCACTTCAGGGATGTTACGGTTATCTAGAAGCAACGCGAAAGTGCCTGTAGATGCAGATGATATGTACACATTTTTTGCTTCGACCTATCCGGTCAAAAAATAACACGCGAAATGTTCGTCCTCTACTTCTATAGATAACCCCTCTCTTTTCTACTGAAATAACTTTTTATGCTGCAGCTGCTGTTGTTTATGTTTGAGGTAATCGACGTCATGCTCCGTTTGCATCGTCGTCGTCCTCGTCGGCGTCCTCTCCCCATGCAAAGATGTTCGTTTCCGCGCGCGGAGCCCCTTCAACTATTCGAATATCTTGCCAGTTCTCCCTTCCCCCTCATTGTTACTCGCTTCTGCCCGCTTTCTCGGCATATTCGACTCGACCAGTCAACGTCCAACGTTCGCGCCAAGGCATAGCGATGGGGACGCGTTCGTCATACGTCGAACTTTGCCATTATTTGGCAGGATCCAGCGAAATCGGCTAGTTATAGGATGCTACGTTTAGAAAATTTAGTTGCACTTTTGCCAATGTTACCGTTGCACTGACAAGATGCATTTTAGCAATAACACCACTAATCAAATGAGCAAATATCATGTTGTATCAAAGATTTTCCAAATGATGCGCAAGCGAAAAAGTTAAGAGGCGTCGTGACTTCGATGGAAATACCGCTCATATAATTGAACAGATAAGCTGATATCGTATCACGACGGAGCAGCTTTTTTGGATTGCGAAATTCAAGTTCACTTAGTAGTCAGCCAATATTGCTTACGTTCTTTCTGAGTACTTTGAACATTTTTTTTGGCCATTTATGAATGGCTAAGAAGTGTTAATTTGGTCAGGCGATAAGATTTCAAGTAGTCATTGTCAATCAAAGTGAAGAAAGCCACTTTACTGTTATGGGGGTGAATTCCGTTTTGATTTCCTGGCAGCAAAGCGAATCAGTCGAGATATTTTTGCAGACTTCTGAACATAATCATCTATTGCACGAAGCCGTGGCCAGTTTCCTGATGTTAGTAAGTTTGAACTGCGTTGTCAGATCCCCATCACCGCTACTCTGTTTCCTCGTACGTGGAGATAACCTGCAAGTGCAAAGTTCTAAACATAGCATTACTCGTTCATCCTTTACAGTCATAATTAAAGGCTTTACTTTTGTTTTTTTTTTTTTCACTTGTTGTTCCATCGCGGCCCATACACTGTCTATCCCCTCGGAAATAAGGAGCGCAGCAAAGCTGTTATCTGTATAGAGTCATACAATTAGAGTTATACAGCTATTTGTCAATGCGAACTGGAAAAGGGAGTGCAACGATTGAAACTAACTGAATAGTGTCTGATACGCTATTTGCTAATTTCTGGATTACATTTCTTATTGAAGATGAAAATAATCAACGAGATTTTATTATATCCCCTCAAATAACCTATAGGTGGAACTATTGTGTCGAAGATAAATAAATGAAAGCCACTGCTCGTCGATCTTATTCTTAAGTGGGTGATCGAGGCATGCTGCCAGAACCGTCTTTTAGCCTAGAGAATCACTACTGTGAAAGATGTCGAAGTACAGTCAAGAATTCCAGTTTTGATGTCCTACGTAATTTACGATTCTGACACAGTGGCAACGTGTAATGGCGGTAGAAGTATTAGAATAGGCCACAGTCACATCTGGTGTATTTTGAAAAATTCTACGCCAAAAGACAAGAGAACTGCAAGTTGACCTGTCTATTAGTATATCCCAATCGGATGTAACTTCTCATCATCAGAACGAGTACATTTGAAAATTTCTGCGACAGAACCTAAAGAGTCGTGTGACAGAGTCGTGTAACGATGAATATGTCCAACTGTAAAACTTAATGACAGGACTTCGGCCTTTTTTGTACAGGAAACATTCTGCCATCTTAAGCCGTATTGATTTTGTTGATAGCTGTGACAGGAAACCTCCTCTACGTGCGAAGCAAATAGTAGGATTTAGTTTCTCATGTGTTCCTTATACGTGAATTATATCTTCGATTGAAATATCTCAAATCTGCTTTGCTTGCAAATGCTTGTGGTTCAAGTCGAAACAACAGAGCTTTTTGGTGATTTGTTAGTGTCTCTAGTGGGTGTGGCAAAAAAAAAGTCGAATATTTTAATACTGCGCCTTTTGGTATATCTCGGCAGAGTTTTTATTATACGTTATAGTGCTGTGGACCGGGTCTGAGCAAGGTACATGTGAAGTTGATGTCGCTCTTGGAAATTAGTTTTGTGAGATTATGTATTCGCTACGAAGCGAGTTACCTGTAATAGTAGTTGTCATGTGGAAATGCTCTAGTTCGTTTTGGTATACCATCCATTGGGTCGTGCCAGTTCATCGGCTTTGACAAGTTTCAGACGAAAGCCTGTAAAACTACTTGGATTTCACGACTACCATGACGTATTTTTTTTTCTATCATATATCTCGTTTAACAGGGTGATGGGCCTAAATTAGCACTTTTTATAGGAATCATTCCTAAGACCATATCTAAATAAGCATAGACGTTTCGACGATTCTTTTACGCTAAAAGTATCGCTCCTCGTGGTCTCCTTCACTCAATGTAATTTTCGTTCACCTCGATTATTGCCGAAAGCATCTCAAACCGCTAATAAGCTGGTCTTAAAATTGTAACTGTGCAAATGTGTTCTCGAGAGTGAATCGACGATATCGTGTTGAGGATGATAAAACTAATGCCCAATCACACTTGGTTATACAACAGTTTGTACAAAATCCAGGTATTGTCCTTTAATCGCCTCTTGATATATGTTATACATTGAATAGGTGTATGTTCTGTAAGTAAGCCCACGATCTGCCAATGTTTCTACGGCTGACTTTTGTGTTAGGCATAACCTTGTCAGAGAAAAATCAAAGACGACTCAAGAGAATTGAGGAACAAGCGGGTTTCAAAATCTTATTGGCCCCAAAGCATCTGTCTGACTTTGAGTACATATAACATATACACAAAATCCTCATGAACAATCAGTAACATGCTTGCATAAAATTTCTTTGATAACGACTTAGTCGAAGCAAAGCGACCATCGGAAATTTACTTTTAAACGGCCTCGATTAATTTTCGAGTCCGCACGTCGATTATAGATATTTCGCTGAAACATACTGAAATCTGCTTACTCTGCGGCCCCACACCTATTTGCAATGCCGTACCTCGTCAATCTGGGCTTATTAAAGAACCTTATTATCATGGTGGGGGATTCGCAGCTCGTAAAAGTGGATAACATTTAAATAAAATTGGATATCAGTTTTCCACGCAAATCCCGAGAACGATGCATTGTTTTCCACCGTGGTTGCACGTCTGTTTGCATCTTCAGTTAATAACCATTGATTTCGGATGAATACATTCGTGTAATCGCCGTCGGCCTCTTAAAAAGAGTCTGAATTAATATAAGCTTACACGGTGCGTGTTATAGTGACATTTTAAAGTTACGTTTGCTATCTAGATATGGATTCACGGAAACAAGAAAGGGAAAAGTTCACTAAAGGGTACCTTTAGCGCCACCGAGCTTTGATTCGTCTTTTACAGATAGAGCAAATTTGGTATACCACTTACCCAGTTTACGATGGAAAGAGCACTTTTTAGCAACGAATACACTGGCTTTGCTTGTTCGCTGTTTTGCCTTAACGACACTCTTGTCTCTTCTGGAAGAAGCTTGTCCTTGATATGTTAAATTTGATGTGGTACTGCGATGGCTGCTTGTCCTATTTGATGTCAAATTACAATACTAAAAGTAGTAAGTTCTTACAATTGTACCGCCGTCATTGCACACTGTCCGCCACTCTGAAAGTTTAATTGTCTTTTACATATAAAAATCTATTATAAATAAGCTTCATGTCTAGTATTTTTGAGCCTCAAATACAGTAGACAAATGAAGTACCTCCACTGTCTCAGTCGGCCTCTCACTGCACAAAAAATTCAAGCAAATTACTCAGAGTTAAAGGAATAGGCATACGTGTGATCCTGCGTTACATAGTGCTTTTCTGTGTACGCACAAAGTTTTTTTCGTAAATGATGTTACGTAAACGCAGCCATGTGTAACCATCTCATCAGCACCGATCTCAATGCAGATCTGTAGTGATATAAGAAATTGTACTGGCCTCTGCACCAATTTTATTTTATGTAATAGTCGAATTTTACACTGACATAATTTCCAGTACTATTTAGCTATCGAAAACTTTGATTTTGTCGATCAGAATGTTTTAGGCTACAGCTAAAGTTATGTGCTGCAAGAATGGCGTGTAACTCAGTTGCACAAGACTTCAACGCTACTTAAAACCTGCAGGTTCCCGCTCATTAACTAACTCTATTAGAGTCACAAAAAGTAATCTGAGGTCCTACACAGAAGACACACAGCTGAGCTACAACGATGCTTCACTGTTCGCACCTACTATTAGGGGCTTAGGATTACGAAACCCTTAAAACTCACGAATCTAAGAACACTGACAGATAGCTTCGCACGAACCAGCGTACTTTATCGGTGAAAAAGTAAACGGACTCAGGTAAAACTGTTCGTGTCTCAAGAACATTTTGCTTTAAAGAGCATAATTTAACGTAGTCTGTCATTTTCTTGCAAATTTCAATTATGGTTGCATGCGAAGGCATGCGTCTTTCTTGGGTTGCGTTCAGCGGTTAAAAGCTTCACACGGTCTTAGAAAGTCGTGTTCTGTTCTACGAACACTCAGATTGTAATCGTCAACATGTTCAAGTAAGAGCTGCAGAGAAGTTTGCATTCACTGTCAAATTGTTTAGTGGTAGTCGGAAGAAGACGGAA